AATTTATGCCTTCGGCTCGACTCACCTTGCCACACACACACACACACACACACACACACACACACCACACACACCAATCCAAGCCAAAACCACTCTTCAGTGGCAACAATGAAATTGTTAGCTAGTTCGCTTTGTGCAACAGCAAATATTTATGCAAATTGAGCTGCGCTTTGTTGCCGCTTTGGCCATATTTTATTGCATTTTCAAATATAATTGCGACCCGAGTTGGGCATGAGCAGCGCCTGTTCTGTTCGCTTTTCTGTTCTGGTATTCCATTTTGAGCAGCTTTGCGCAGGCGATTTAATCTCTTTTAATTGCTGCGACTAAGTACGGCTTTGGGAGAGGAGTTGGTGGTGCCGCAGTGAGGGGTTGATTACAGTCAGCTGCCAGGCAAATGAAATTGCATCAATGTCAAGACTGTACAGCGCCTCTCAGGGCTCACACACAAAAAAGGAGCAAGCGAAGTGGCACCAATTGATGGCCCGGTGCACACCTTGCTTCTGCTGCTCAAGCTCCCTCCCCAAAGATTTTCCGCATTAATATTGCAATTTAATGAAAACAAGAACAACATCAGCGATCATCAGTGGAAGAATTGCACCTGCTGCAGCGACAAGTCATTATAAATATCCTGGGTAGCAGGACACTGCCAAGGGATATTCCTTACAGGACTAACTAAATAAGGTGACTTGCTTATACGCTTATACGCTTTAAACTTGGTAAGCCCCATGGGTTGTTAGGCATCGTAGAGTAAGAAAACTCCAGAAAGATGATGAAAAAATCCAAACTTTAATTATGAATATCGATGCTAAAGGAGAGATTTCACATAGTTTCGATTTCCTGAGTCTATTAATGCTGAACGACAGCTCAATGCAGATATCGATGTTAAATAGAGCTTTACCCACTTCTTACACTCTGAAAGATACAAACCTATTTGTAGCTTGTAGTTTTCATCCCCAAACTCTGCCTTTCAACTCGGTTAAGTGGCCTAGATCATATTGAATAGAGCGCTCTGTTTTCGCTGCTTGGCCCAAAATTAATGACGTTATTTTCGCATTAGGAAGCAGCCATGACACGAGCAGTCATGAGCATTTTGCGTAATTGCCGCAATTATTATATTAATGCAGGCTGTATTGTGTTTGTTTTTGTTTTTGCAGGCCCCCAGACTACAAATTTATATGAAAAGGTACATATATCGAGAACTGTAGGATCTTGACAACCCTCGAGTGTCCCGATGGCAGCGATGGCAGCGATGGCAGAGGGAGCGATTAAGAACGTCAAGATACGCGTCAGTTGCAGCGCCTCAAGGTACTTGACTTCAACGTTGGCTTGCAATTTCCAAAGCGATTATGCTAATTGACCTACTGAGGAGTCCACTCTCTCTCTCTCTCTCTCTCTCTCTGTGTGTGCTGGGGGGATATTCATACCCGTAATATCCAGCGACAGTCTACAATTTTATGCAATTAATACTGGAAATTTTGTGTACTTTTTTGCCAGCGAAAATGGATAGCCCTCTACATACATTTTGGACCCTAGCTAAATTAGCATGGCAACAAAATATAGAGTACAATAAATATTTAAATTTTATAAGGCCTCTCTCCCTTTAGCCATCCATCAAGAGCGAGAGCGAAAAAGAGAGCAAAAACTAAAAGAAATAAAACTGAAAAGCGTTAAATTTACGAGGTCTGGGCAAAGTGCTCGACATTTATGGCCCAAACATGGCCGGACCGGGTCCGGGTCCGGGACCGGGGCTGGTGCCTACGATTGGTCTTGGATGCCCTGAATAGAGATGGAGGCACTCAGTGGAGTGCCACAGTGGCTTAGCTCAGGGTAGCGATGAGGAGGAGCAGAGGCTTCCATTTCGCATGCGCGCGCATTTAAATTCCACTTCCGTTTTTCCCGCAAATTATTGTTTATGTATGTGAGCGCCGTGCAGTGGCAAAGGCAGTGCGGTGCATTGAGTGGTTTGTGTGCTCCTCATAAATTCATAACTTTGTGGAAAATCATAAAAACAGAATTTATGGCTTAATTATATATGTACAGACGCACACACACACACACACACAAACACAGTGAAGTACAAGTGTGTGGAGAGTGGAAGCCAAATGCACAATTGGCCTCGTCTCGGGCATTTCTTTCTCTTCATTTCACGCTGATGATTAAGTGTCCCACACAATCGCATTGGCTCCCACACACACACATACACACCGGCTCATACTAACGAGAGTCACTACGAAAGATGTGTTGCATATATCGACCAGAGGATACCTCCTAGTCCATGGGAGATTTAAGATCTGTCAAACAGCAAAGTCGAGCATCGATGTGCAAAGCTCTTTTGCAGCATTCGCTTGTGCGTCCGAGTCGAGCAGTTACGGTTACACATTTTATACAATGAATGCTACAGCAGCTCTAGGACATAGTAAATAGACAGTCTCGGATATCTATAATAAAGCCAGCGTGACGGACTGCTGTAGTGAAAAAGGTTTATTCCCTCTCATCGTCAACGAGTGCCAGGTATAAAAAAACCATTCACCGCGAGACGCGAACTTTTCGCCTGCATTTATGCTTAAATGCCCAGCAATTGTTCTTAAAACGCTGCACGCGATGATGGAAAACTTCAACGATTTTCATTTTATTCTGGCCACCAGACTACTGCTCATAACTTGCAATTACGTGCTGAATTTTCTTTTGTTTCTTTTTATTGATTTATTTGTTGTTGTTGTTGTTGTTGTTGTTGTTGTTGTGGCTTCTGTGATGTGATGAAGAAACAACCAAAAATTGGGTTAAGCTGTTTTGCATTTGCATCAGGCACACACCACAAGCAGCTAGCTGATGATGATTCCCACGTTCTGCTGTAGACGGAATGAGTTCGGACGACAGCAGCACAGGAGCAGTAGCAGGATTTTGGACTTAGACTTGGAGCTGGACATGAAGGTACACGGCAAACAGTTTGTCTATAAAAATCGAAGCCAGGCTAAGAAAGAGCGAGAGAAGAATTTCTTGCATAAAGCCAATTAAATTAAGAAATCTGATTCAGTGCCAACGACAACAGCAACAGCAACAGCAACAAGAAAATCCAGCGACTGCAACGGATGGAGGAGAAACGTGAATCCCCAAAAGAATCTTTCTCTCCCACTCGCACACCTCTCTATCTATCTCTTTTTATATATTTATTGTCGCTCTCCCTCTCTCTGTCTCTCTCGTCTCCGGCAATTGGTATTTTACAACAAACAGAGCTTGCGTTCCAGCTTATTTAACATAAATCGAATGGCTACTGAAATACACCCGACTCAATGCGGGGCCTTATCTCTGGCTTGGACTTTAGTTTTTTTGCTGGGATGTGCCATGCACGCAGAGAAAAAGTATGGTAACAAAGGAAGTTGTGATCTTTTCAGAGATAAATGTAAAGAATAGAATGAGATGGTGGCGATGCTCACAGATGTAGATCTACCATCTACAGAAAGATGGAAAATTATTTTGTGAAACTTGTTGAAATTTCTACCTAATAAAAGTTTATTCAACAACCTTTTCGCACCGTGTCCGTGTTGGTGGATCTGAGCCAATTTCATTGAGTAAAGGCAAATGTAAAGACAGAGCAAACGACCTTTGGAAAAATGGCTAAGGCCCCAAGAAGTTGTTTGTGTCTTGTGCAGACAAATCACGACCCGAAGACGAAAACAGCCCAAGAGTTTGCTGCGCTTGGACGTTCGGCCAGAGGACAGTCGAACGGAGAGTACAACAGATTTCACACCTCCTCCAACTTGGAGGAGGAAAAAAAGCGAAAAAATGAGGAGACAGACTGACCCAACTAATAAGAGTCAGCTAAAACGACAACATCAAGAGACAACAGCAGGAGAAACAACAGCAACAGTACTAGCAACAAAAACCACATGGCATAATAAATAAAAGCCAAGTAGCTGGTGCTGCCTAAGAGTCTGGGTCTGCATCTGGGTCTGGGTCTGAGTCTGGTAGTGTCTGGTCTTTGCTGGGACCTGGAACCTGGGCCGGAGCCGGAGTCTGTTGGCTGGCCCTGTGATTTTCACAAGTTGATATCGCAAACACAAAATGTTAATGAGCAATTTCGAGATGGTGCGAAGTGATTTCATTATTTAAACTTTTTTGCTTAGTTTTCGCCTTTTATTTCGTTGTCGTTGTCTCTGGGATTGGATGTGCTGCTGCTCCGACTGCTCCGACTGCTGCTGGGCTGTGGTCTGCCTCTCACTCTCTGGTTTTTTCGGTTAAGACTTTTATTAAGGCTGCTTCATTGGGTAGTAATGAAAGCGAAATAATTTTAATTGGCGACTGCTGCCTGGCAGCACTTTTATTTTTTGGCATTTTTTCGAACCCAAATTAATTATTTCCTGTCAAATTAGTTTTGAGTTTTGGAATAAATTATTGTACGACTGGCTCAATCCTATGAATATGCAACATACATTCATACGTACACATGTATGGGTATTCACCGATCTCTTCGAGTGCTGCTTTGCTCTGCTTCTGCTGGGAAATGTCACCTGTCGTGTGATGTCGAGTCGGGTTACTTCAAAACATTGTTCCGCCGCATAAATTAAGCCCAGCAACGTTGATTAATTGGGTCGCATTTGATGATTAAAACATAAATTGCAATGGATGCAGAAAACTTGGCCCATGTACGCAGCCAGCACCAGGACGAGGACCAAGCCATTACCAAGGCTCGTCTTAGGGGTTGCGCTGGCACTAAAATTACACTTAATTAAACATCAAGCAGCCACTGGGGATCCTCTGCAAAACCCTTTCGAACGGAGCAAACTGTTCGCTGAATGTGGTATGGGGTTGTAATATTCAAGGAATTCTTTTATAGGGCGGTAAATATTCTCTAGAACTTCATTATCGATTGGAATTAACAAGATACTAGCCACTGATCCAAGCAGAAAGTAAGGCTGAAGCCTCAAGTAAACTTTAGAAATTTATTTATTCATCAAATGTTAAACTATTTTGAAATTTGTTTAGTACGTTTATACCCTACTCACAATAGCCGAGCGTAATCAGTCACAACATGTGGAAATATCTTATGGTTCTTTTCATTCTACTCAACAGTCGTAGCATCTGTGGAAATTTATGCATTACCAAGATGATAGTGCGTGTGCCCCGAGAGAACGACATTGGTTTGATCTTTGGTAAGGCCTCCCTCGAATTCTTGACTCACTGAACAGCTCCAAATGCCCTGCAGACATGACGGTTACCAATCGCCACAACGGTGAGAGGAAGCTAGCATTGGAATTGATTGTGTCCTCGGATGGGCCATGTATGGTAAACACCACTAAAGGCGAAAGGGTCCAAGTGGGTCCCATCTATGGTGGTAACTTTGGAAGCGTGGAGCCGGGCAAAAGGGAAACCGTGTCCCTTGTGTGGCCCACTGTGGTAAGTACTTCAAATCACAAACATGAAATACGCCCTCAACCTCAACCCCACCCCACCAATAACAATAACAGTCGCTGTACAATCGTGTGGGCTACTGTCCTATCACGATCAGTGCTCTGAATCCCTCTATCGAGCCGGCCAGAACCAAGCAGCTGCTGCACTTTGACACACGCTTCGAAACCCTGGATCCCGAGAATCGTACACTGCGCAAGCGAAAGGACTTCACTCCTTGCAACAACTGGGACAAGGAATACTTTATGAACTGCCTGCCCGTCGTCTGTGAGGAGCGCTACTTTGGGCAGCGCAGCTTCTACAACTACACCACGGAGCAGTGCGAGCCGGTGCCAGCGTGCTCCAAACCCGGCGAGTACTATGACTACTATGGAAATGAATGTGTGGATCCCAACAATTTCATAACGGAGGAAGAGCTTGAGCAGATCAGGCAGGGACAATTTGATGACAATATTCTTGAATTGCGACCGCCTCCTGGGGTGAGTAAATAATAATTATTGCTGCCATCTGTTGGTAGATTTTCCAAAGCCAAATAACACCACCGCCACCTAGCGTGGCTCAGTGTAACTAACTAAAATTGTAGCGCTGTCTGCCGCCTACATACATGTTTCTATAAATCTGACACAGAAAACCATATTTTACTAACTGTCACTCGACAGAAGCTGAAATGTATAAAACTGCAGTTAAACCAGCATAGTTCCCTTACTCGACCTATAGGTGGCACTATTTAAAAGTTTGTTGGATGTTACGTTGTCTATAGAAATTGCATAATTCTCCCAACACGGCCACATGGCGCCGTGGCTTAGTTGGTTAAAGCGCCTGTCTAGTAAACAGGAGATCGTGAGTTCGAATCTCGCCGGGGCCTTTGAAGAGAGGGTTGAGTGTTACAGCCTTTTTTTGGTTGTACTTACTTATACTTTATTTATTTTTATCTTTTCTCCAGTGCAAGACCGACCAGCCGAAGGCCAAGTACAAAAAACCTACTCCTATGACATCCCCGCCACCCAGAACCTGCCCTACCAGACGATCTTTGGCTGATTTCAACAATTGTTTCCAGAGTCTGCACGAGAGAGTTTCTCCGGACAAGAAGATCGGGAAGAAGTCAACATCTCAGATTTCGCTGCTACAGCAGTTGTACTACGATTGGTACTTGCCTTTGCGAGCAGACACCTGGGGCGAAAATAAAGCCGTTGAATCCACCCCGCACCATGACGGCGTCATCTCATCCGGATCGCAGCCCCTTTCGGCATGGCTCGCCGAGGTGGACTCCAGCGGATTGCTGTTGGTGACTCTAAAAAGTATTGGTATTGTGAGTTTGCGCTTCCAAAATGTACTTTTTAATTTACAATTGTCTCAGATCTTATTGGCTGTTGCTTTTCAGGTAGCCATCACGATATTAGCGTATCTTCTTGTGTGCATTGTGTGCGCTTTCCTCGACATGGTGGCAAAGATCAAAAATTCCGAGAAGACAACCGACCAATTGGCAGAAAAGCTGCGGCCCAAAGAGGACGAGACTCGTGTTGAAGTCTTTACCTCTGAGAGTTTGATGTCGTACCGTTTATAGTAGAGCTTGTGTTTTTTTGTTTGCAGTTTATAGAAACGATTTTCTCACATTTTTTTTAATTATAGTTCAACCATTAACTGTTTAACTAGTCAGGTCATCAAAATATTATTGGAATTGATGTACTTACTGCCCAAAAATTATATACCTAGAAATTCTTTGAATTTAACTTTGAACTTACTCATTGAACTTACCTTCTCCAGTGTTCAAGAAGAAAACAGAGCGGGGCTAAGTGTGCGTCAGTTTTACGACAACCTTGTTTAGGCCTCACACCTTGTAAAATTTCAGTATTTTCAGTATTTTTAGAAAACAACGTAAAGAAATGTAATTAAGAGCCATGTCCCAGGCTAGATCGAATATTAATTCGTGATAAGCATTCAAGTCCTGATTGCTTGCCATCAAAATCTCTATTTTGGATAATGGATAATGGAGGCCATTTACATTGCCGCTTTCACTAGCGTTGTATGACAAAATTACGGCGAAACTTGTCAACAAGCGTCAGGTGTCTCTGTCGCTAATTACATAAATATGTAGTTAATATGTAGCAAATGCGTGGTTGCCGTGTCGTTACCTTGTACAACATAAATTATGAGTAAACCGATGTTGATTAGACCTTGTTTTTTTATTAATCAAATCAAAATGAGTACATAAAACTAGCAAATCTTTTAGGAAATCAATAAATTTATCGTAAAAAATTATATACTGAGAGCGGAGGGAGCTGGCTAGCTGGTAATCGTATGACGAATATCAAAAACGAAGAAAATTCAATCACTTCTTTGCAGATTCTCAGGCGCAGACCAGCCAGCTGGCTGGCTTTTTTTAGTTATTTCATTTAATTTACAAAAGTTTAGAAAAGCACCAACGGAAGCCATGTATTCCGAGGACGAATTACTCTTTCGCAATTTTCAGCAGTTGAAGAGCTACAAACTGGACGACGAAAAGTCCTCCACCACCACGTCCAGGGAGCAGGTGAGTAATCGCAATCGCGTCCAAGGCGGTTGGAAAGAAAAACCCAGATAAGAACTGACCTGTGCGTGTTTACAGCAAAAAACAGAGACTTCGGTAGAGAAATGCTTCGACCGGTTCGAGGAATTGCAGTCCTCTCATCCACGACTCACCCAATTTTTCCGGCTAGAGCATCAGTATTATCTGGACGCAATGCTGCGCCGGCTTCCCTCGAACTACGAGTGCCTAGACAGTAGTCGGCCCTGGTGCGTCTACTGGATACTGCAGGCAGCCCAGTTGCTTAGCTTCAACTTTGAGGACGAAACCCTCGACAGGGTCGTACAGTTTCTCAGCAAGTAGGCTGATTTAACTCAAGCCTGACCATATGAATAACTTATCGTCCCTCCTTACAGATGCCAAGCTCCAACGGGCGGTTTTGGCGGCGGACCAGGACAGTTCGCCCATCTGGCACCCACATATGCGGCGGTAAATAGCCTCTGCATTATTGGCACCAAGAACGCTTATCGCGCCATCAATCGTCCGACCCTTGTGCAGTTTCTGTTCAGTGTTCGCCAGCCGGACGGCTCTTTCCGGCTCCATGTGGATGGGGAGACGGATGTGCGCGGAGCGTACTGTGCCATCTCTTGCGCCAAGCTGCTGAATCTTCCGGGTCTGGTGATGAAGGAACTCTTCACCGGCACAGGTGATTGGATTGCCAAGTGCCAGACGTACGAGGGAGGTTTTGGCGGCGCCCCCGAACTGGAGGCCCATGGAGGCTACACATTCTGTGGCATCGCAGGCCTGGCGCTGCTGAACGAGGCGCATAAGTGCAACCTGAAGGCGCTGCTCCATTGGACACTGCTGCGTCAGATGAGCTACGAGGGAGGATTCCAGGGTCGAACCAATAAACTGGTTGATGGCTGCTACTCCTTTTGGGTAGGCGCCTCCATACCCATAACACAGGCGACGCTCTCTGGCGTCGATAAGGAGATGGAACACACACTTTTTGACGTTGAGGCCCTACAGGAATACATTCTAATCTGCTGCCAGAAGCAAAACGGAGGTCTGATCGATAAGCCCGGCAAGTAAGTCATCCCCCTGAGACATTGCAAGATTTGTCACCCAATTAAACGTTTTCTCGGTTGCAGACCACAAGATCTCTATCATACATGCTATACCCTAAGCGGCGTCTCCATTGCCCAGCACTCGGAGTCCGCCAGTTGTCCACAAGTCCTGGGCGACACCATCAACGAACTGCTACCCACCCATCCACTGTTCAACATCCCACCTAAGTCTGTGGCGGCGGCTATCAGCCACTTCAACAATTCCAATGACACAGATTTTGCCAGCACCTCCGATAGTACCCGTCGAGGAGAGTCAGAACAGGATAGTTAGAGTGTCGGAGTACATATATTACAACTTTCTACCGCCTATAGATGATTCAAAATTATACATTTTACAATAACTAAATTTTCTTTAATAAAATCTATTTCAGATAGTATCGGCTCGTGTGCTTCTTCTTCTCGATAACAGCTATCGAGGTGTGCAGGCGAATGGCAAGATGTCGTCACAGCTTGTGAATGGATAAATATCAAATTTTAAATTGAAAACAAAAAAGGATTGCTGCCTTTTCATGTTCTCCAGCCATCGCAATTTGAAAAGAAAGACCCCCGACCAGGGTATTGATCGTAGGCAGTATATTGGACACCTGGTTGATGAATACTACACGACCACAAACGTTGGTAGGGGAGTCAATATTCACATTTTGTTTCAACTCTTATCTGATCTCCTGCGTATTCTTTGCAGAAGCACTAGAGCAGGTCACTGCGAATTTGACCAATTTTGCCTACGATCCGATCAACTGGCCGCATCTGCATGAAGCAGAGGCCTTCGATGTGTTTATAGCATCGTTAAAAACACAAAATCAGAATCTCCAATTGCATGGCATTGCGGCAATCTGCAACATCTGCTTAGGTAGGGGCAACGAACATCAGCCCAAAACAGTTTCCATTACATAAGCTGCATTTTTTCTTTATATTGCAGATAAAACTGCAGGCGAATTGATTAGGGAAGAGTTGGGCATCATCAGCGGTTTGTTTGTGCGCACAGACCATCCGGAAATAGTGCTCCATAGTCTGGCACTGTTCTTCCAACTTCTGAACGCCAGTGTAGTCGACAAGGAGCTGCTTCTGACCCCATCAGTGCTCAAGGGCGTACAAGAGTGGCGGCAAAAGTGCCACGACCAACGCATTGTTAAGCTCTGCCAACTGTTGCTGGAAGATTTTGCTAGGCGCACTGAGATTATCGAGCTACAAAATGTTCCGCCAATTTTACCGGCACCTGAGCAGCCGTGCACCAGTAGCCAAGCTGCAGCAGGTCCAAGTGGTTAAACGCTTCACCCAGCAGGATCTGGAGCAGTTTGCCCAGTTTACGGGTGACCACAACTACATACACACCTTGGAGCTGCCCGTTGAGGAGCGAAGAGTGCACGGAGCTCTGCTCAACGCCGTTGTGGCGGGCATTCTCGGAACAACACTTCCTGGGCCTGGCACTGTGGTGTTGGAACAGAGCTTCAAATTCCTGAAACCCTGTCGCATAGAAACCGACACTGTGGTGACGGTGCGCCTTCTACAGTCACGTAAAATCTCCACAGCTGAATACGATTGCCGGCAAAACGATGAAATTGTCTTTGCGGGCAATGCCAAATTGTTGACCCGCAACCGCACAGATTAGGTTTTGATTTTGATTATTAAAAAGGTTTTTATGTGTACCTTATTTATATCTACTTCTTGGAGGCACGTTTGCCCTCACCCTTCTTGGGCGCCGCCTTGCCACGCAGCTTGCGTAAACGTTTCATTTCCTCCTTGAAGTCCTGATGCTCGTCCCGGAACAGTCCGTAGTCTCGCAGGTTTTTCATTAGCAGATGCGTCTCCACGTGCCGAGGATACCAGTTCACCACATAGTCCCTCTTATGGATGGGCTCCTCGGAGAACATGCGAACCACCTAGGAGCCACATTAAAAGGTTAGTAAAAGCGATGGTTCGCTACTTTAAAAGAAAAAGCGGCAAACCTTCATGGACTTGTCGTTGGTGGTGCGTGCCACTTCCCCGAAAATGCGATTTGAGAGGTAATTCATGCGTCGGGCATACTGCGTGCCGAGCTTAATGAGCTCCGTGTACTTGTGGGACATCTTTAAACAATATCCCCTTTGATTCAAACACAATTTTTATAAATAAATGTTTTCCTGTTTTTGTGGGCAACGAAAAACGAAATTGCGGTTATGTCACGAAATAAAAACAAGCCACAGCTGTTCGGTATGTGAAACCGTTGTGAATGGCAAGTGGGTTGTTTGTTGGGCGGGGGACGACGACAGCGTCTTGACTGGAAACGAGATGAAGGCGCTCAGCACCTCCCATATGCAGTTGTGGACTTCTTCATACTGGAGGAAAAGGAGCAACCAAAGCTGACTTTATAGCTCCGGCGGTAACTCCTGTGGGAGTCAATAAGCTGTTCAAAGCCCGAATTGGCTCCGAATTGCATGAAGTGTGTCCTCATCTTCGGCTGTCCACTAGCTTTTCTAATTTAATGGACTTAGAGGACTTTCAGAAGCCGACCTCTCTGCCATGATTACTAAATGAGCCCTTCAATTCAATGGCAATGCAAGACAATGGGCGAGAAGCCGTTTCTTTTGTAAGGTCACTTCGTACTGTTCAACAGAACTTCCAGACTTCCTCGAGCACAACAAATGAAATGGAATAATGAGAACACTTTTTTGTAACTTTAACTATTAAATTGTTTAACCATTGTTTAACGAAATCAAAAAATAATTATAGCATGTGCACCCTATCAATCAATTAGAATAATAAAATGTTAGCAACAATCTAAATGTTAATACTAAAATGTACAACTAATTTAAACCGTTTCTATGGCGCCCTTTCGCCTGCTGCTGTCCGAACCGCGGCCACCATCCGTCGCATCAGTGCCTATAAATGAGGTCTCCTCGGAGCTTTGGACTGGCAGGACTTCCCTGGCCAGTGACACACTGTTTAATTGGCTCAACAAGGCATTCGAAGCCACCAGGGACGGCTCACGGGGTGATCCACTGTGCACAGATATCTCATACTGGAGTACACGGCTGGGTGTATGCGAACGGGAGGCGGGCGAACCATTTCCACGCGAGTGCGGGCTGTTGTTTCGCGAGTGCTGGAAATCTTCCATGGGTATTTCTTCAGAACTGTAAGGGAAAACAAAAACCATTGTGAGTAATTTTTGATTGAATCATTGGGTATTTATTATGTACCGCGGCCTGGGCAACCTTGGGCTGCTCTCACGGGATCGGTTTCCAGAGCTGCGTGGTTGGGAGTTCTCGCGCGACTGCGACGAACTGTGGCTGCCTACACTCACACTGGGCGATCGGTCACGATCTAAGTGGTCCGATCGCAGAGTCGTCCCAGAGCTGGTGTTGGGACTGCGACGGCGTGAGCGCCCAGCGCTTTCATTTCGAATGCTGCGGAGGATACATCAAATAAGTTAAATTCCTGCTTCCTGCTTCCTGCTTCGCTGAAGACTTACCCCTCGATGGAGCGATTCTGGGCCATCTGGGTGCGACTGACACCAGCACTGTTGTTACTCCTCAAGACAGCAGCGAATCCTGGCACACGATTCGCCGTGGAGAAGATGGGACGATGGTGACCGCTACGTGAGCTGCTTCCGCTGCTGCTGCTGCCGCTGGGCACCGCCGTTGTACCACCCACAGCATACACGGGGGAGTCCATCTGCCCGGGAATCTCTATAAGCTGCGCGATCTGATACATCTTCTTCTGACGCGCCTTGCTACGGCCCTTGGTCAGGCGCTGCTTGGCCGCCATGCAGCGGATGTGATCGTCAAACAGGAACTTAGCGGAGAGCAGCGGAGTGCGGTTATGGGTCACCCCTCCGCGATGCACGGTGATGTGCAGGCAGCGCGAGTCATCCTTGTCGCCCTGAACTTCCACATCCTGCAGGAAACCCACAAACTTGGCCACTCCCCATCCCAAGAGCTTAGCATCGGGCTCCACGAGTATCAACTGCAGGGCATCGATGACGAGGAAGCGCCTCTGTTTACTATTATCCTTGGCCACCACAGTGCAAGCTATCAGATCGCTGTTGTCTGTGGAGAATGAAGAGTTTGTCAGTCAGTCAATCCAATAAAATGAATCCCTGGAATACTTACTCAGATCGAGGGTATTGTCCACCTGCACGAGCGTAACAACATTCGTCAGCGGCAGCAGGGATTCCCTCTCGTTGAGGAACTTTTGGCATGTGCGACGGAGCAGAAAGTAGACACGAATGGCTCGACGGGCCTTCTCCACCTCACCGCAGGGCAGGCGTCGGGTGAAATTGATACCCGTTAGGGGCGTGCCCGTGGGCGGCAGTAGAATAGTGGAGTCCATGCATAAAAACTCTACGTTCAGCTGGGCCTTCTTCATCTCATTGTACTCGTCCTCGAAAAGGTCCAGAAATATATCCTCAGACTTGTAGAAGTTGCGCAGGACTAGCATCGACTGGTTGCGGGCACTAAACAGCAGATCCTGCTGACCCGTGGTTATGCAACGCGCTTCATCCGAACTGGGCTTGGTGAACGTCACCAGCAGCTCCAGGGCAATCTCCACAGTGATCAAGCGTATGCGGCAGGCTAAACAAAAGGTTACAGCAGCAATCAAAATGGAGAAAAGATGGAGAAGGGGAGATATAAACTTACAAGGCTGACTGGACTGTGTGATTATATTTAACAAGTGCTCAATTATGGCTGTCTTATAGCTGAAAGAGCCGCGCGTGGACTTGGACAGAACCTGCTCGAACCACTCGTTCTTGATGCCTGAAAACAGAATCAAGCATTAGTGAATCCACAGAGCGGTGCGTTAGGTAATGGATTAGTAAAGCAAATGGACAAGTTACATACCATCTGAAGGATTAGGACATGGTACCACAATGTGAAAGTTCAAGACACACAAAGAAAATAATTAAAATGGAGCATGAATTGGATGATCAGAGCAATGAATTGTTAGTCCACAGATAACATTAAAAGACAGAGAGATACAGAGAGAGCTAAAGGAGGAGACCTTACCTCGATTGTGGGACATGGCGTAGATCAGGCAGAGGGACAGCAGAGCCAGATAATCGTTCTCGGTGCACTCCAAGGCATGCAGAACTGTGTCCAGAAACGGTTTAGCTAGCTCCCCAAAGTCGGCCTTGCCTGAGCCTGAGGTCTTTTGCAGCAGCTCCTTCTCCTCATCGGTGATGTTGCGCAGTTTTTTTGCAGCATCCACTTCCGCTTGCGTCTCCACTTCTGTCGTGGCTGGAGAAGACGACTCCACGCCACTGTCCTCGCTCAAGGCATAGCTGGAGGCGCTGCACTGTCCCGTGACCGTGTCCAGTGCTTGTTCGAGGCTCTCGTTGGGCTCGCCAAAGCCTGGCACCACCACCTCACGATGCTCCACATACGAGTTGAGAATCTCGGCAGCTCCGTCCTTGAACACACCGTGATCGCCATTGAGTATGACCCAGGCCAGGGCGTGCACCAGTGGGGCATGCGATACCACCAGGAAGACCAGCGACAGCAGATAGAGGGCAACAATGGAACTAACGCGCGGATTGTGCATCTCCTGGATATCAATGTCGACATTGCGGTTCAGCACAGCCGCCAGATTCTGGGTGACCAGCGCCAGGGATGGCGGCGGGGGCGTTGGCGTCAGTGAGAATATGTACAAAGGCACAAAGAGTTTGTGTAGCAGATGCTCGGTGAGCACGGCATTCAGATCCTTGATGTCCAGCAGCAAAATATCGCTCAGATAGTGTAAATGATCCAGATGCTCGGCCACGAGGTTAGACAGCTTCTGGTTGGACTGGTGGCTGAAAAGAAGGACATTAATGGAAAGGACATTAATGGCCGGATAATCCTTACTCTATATCTGTGCGCACGCAGGTGTCCAGTTCGAGGATGTGCTTGCCAATAAACCACACCAAATTACTAAAATAAGGAGCTGCCGTTCTAAAAGATAAATAATGCATTAGTCCTTAAATCTAAAAGAGCTCGGCGAAGCCTTACTTGTCTCGGATAAAACGCAACATGCTGGAGTTTTGCACCTTGTAGACGTTCAGGGAAATGGTGCGCACAGCAATCCTCACCATAGACTCGGGATGATTGAAGAACTTGATAGCCTCCGTATACAGGGGGAAGTCATTTGTGTGCTGCCAACAGAAATCACCATTGAAATGGAGTCTAACAAAGCAAAAAGAAAGCGTCGAACAAACCTCATTATAAAAGAAGTGAATGGTGTGGGTGTTTAGCTTCAGGCTGAGCGTCTTCAGGAAGAGGATATAGTAGCCCATAACATCCTCATCGGAGAAGTCAAACTTGTGCACCATTATGGAATTTACGTGATTATTGCTCAGCAAATAATCTAGGGATAAAAGAAACAACTTAGTCCTGGATCTGGCAAAGACCTTTGGGGTGCATGACTTACACAGGGACGTCTCGTTGCGTATGTTCTCGAAGAGAATGTTGAGCGTTTGCAGCAGCTGCACACAGACAAAGCTCGAGCCGCCACTCTTTTGGCGCATAATGTGCAGGAAATACGAAAGCATATTCTTCTCCAGAAAGAAGCTGCAAGTGATCAAGTATTAAAAAAGGTTACAACCGACAGTGTGGCGACATACTCAAACACCAGAGAGTCATGCTGATCCCCCCAGATCAGTATCTCGGCAATGCAGCGCAGCGACTCCACCAGCAGGCCACGATTGCTCTCCGACACGGTTGTGTTTTTCTCCAAAATGCTGTACAGGTACTTTAGATGATCCAGAGACAGACGATTCTTGGGTCGTCCGCCCCAGGGGCCGCCAAACCAGCTTCGACTGCGGAACATCACCTTTGGCTAGCTGGTGGGCGTGGGCGGGCGTTCTGTTCAATAATACTCAGCTAATAACAGTCGACGTTGCTGGTATCATATCAAATTCCCAGCATCGAAGTTGTCCGTTTAGCCTTTCGATTGGAATTTTTCATGCAGCAGTGGTAACAGTCGCTCCACAGAGTCTGTCCATACAATTGGGCTATCAAATGGTTTTGATTACACGATTCAAATTTTGTAATTTGCAAATTGCGATTTTTCCAACAAATTGCTCTTCTTCTTCCCCGAAAAAACACAAGTGTCAGAGAGACAGGTCAGCTGTTGCTTCATCGGCTATCGTTATCGTTATTGCAAGTGGTCCAAATATTATTGAATTTCATTAAAAAAATTCTAACAACTTGAGGTGTTTTGAAGTTTCTTGGAAACAGTTTTATTTCCTCAATAAGTTAAAAACACACACTTTTGAACTAGCTTGGATTTTGATTAAAATTAAAGGAATATGAACCCGTGTTGGGATCCTGGTTCATTTGGAAATTCTGTGTGGACAGGCCGAAAGGTTTTAGTATCATATTGCCCAGATCCTTTAGGTTGGCCATCATCTCGGTTTTGAGCTTCTCGTTCCGTTCATTGATTATGGGCGGCAAGCGTATCTGAGCCTCACGCGCTTCTGGCTGTCCAGGATCCAGCTCGCAGACTTTCTTATAGTCCTCCAGAGCCTCATCTGGCCTGTCATCCTGTTCGTACAGCTTGGCTCGTCTGTAAGGGCCATGTTCAGCATCTTCGAATAGAGTTTGGACTTTAGATCTGACAGACTCACCTCAATAGCACTCGAACGTACTCCGGCCACAGCTCAATGGCCTTTGTGCAGTCATCTATGGCCGATTTGTTGGCCTCCAGCTTAATTTTGGCAGCTGCTCTGTTGCCATACAGCACGGCCCGCTCCTTGCTGCTGTCCGAGGGACACACGTTCAGGCCCTCTGTGTAGATTTCGATGGCTCGCTGGGCATTGTCGTTCTTGAACAGCTCGTTTCCCTCCAATTTGAGTTTATCGGCCTTCTCTTTGTTTGCCGCCAGATCATCGACACTCAGAAGCTTTTCAAGGTCGCGTAGCTCCTCAAGGCTTAGTTCACCATCGGGTTGTTTCGCCTCCTGGTCGCCATCACCACCGGAAGCACCAGTGACTGCAGTGGCCGCACCCTCCTCGTCATCGTCCAGCTGGAGCGTGCTCTGCTTTTCGACAATCTCGTCAATGTCTTTCTCATTCATCTGGGATTTGGTGGCCTCCTTCTCGCAAGTTGTCTCTCCGGTGAGAGCATCGTGGAACTCGTCGTCGCTGTTGGCGTTGCCTGCCATGCTGTTGGGGGCGTGCTTAATAAAAATTACTTGAAATTTCGTTCCCAGCAATGAATTGTGTTTTGCATGCTTTCGATAGATCTAGTAGTCGATTCTCAAACACATTGTTATCGAGTGCTGCCAGTTCAGCCAACGGAGGTTTTTCACAGTGCCGCTTCCACTAGCGTTTTATGGAAAAATTACGGCGAAACTTGGAAACTTTGTGTTTCTATTTCTAATAACACAAGAATGTAGAATGTAGTTAGGATGTAACAAGTGGCTAAGTTGCCTTGTAAGTTTAATTTTGATTAAACCGATTTCGATTAAACCTTATTGTCAGAATAATCAAATCAAATGTCGCACCATGTGGAGGGCGTAGAAATCGCCGACATTGAGGCCTTTATTTTGAATGAATATATCCCAGCCAAGCCGCTGGACAGTAACCTGCAGGTTGACTTCACCATAAGAAAACAGGTAAGGGTGTCCAATGAGCACGAGTCGCTCAAACTCACGTGTCCTTTGCAGGCAAAGTCGGAGAAATGCGGACAGCGAAGATGCGGCGATATTCTAAAGTTTCCATTCGCACAGACAACGAGAACGCTAACAGCGGCTAGTATAAAACAGAGCAAAGTTCTGGTGGATGCCGATAAGGCGACAGAAACTAAACGCGTGGTGGAAATCACATTGGAGTCAGACGACTTTGACTACGAGCCAGGGGACACAATCGGCGTGCTGCCCAGCAATGCACCCGCAGTGGTGGAGCAATTGTTGGATCGCCTCGGACTGATCGATCAGGCAGACACCATTTGCCAAATAAAACTTTCCTTAAAGTGTGCAAAGAAGAACGCCAAGCTTCCTGCTCACATACCGGACTCGACATGCCCACGCGAGATTTTCACCAACTGCCTGGCTCTCAATGGTGTTCTGCAGAAGCAATTTCTCAGCGCCCTGGCGGGCTACACCAGCGTCGCCAAGGAGCGCAGTTTCCTGGCCTGCCTCTCTTCCAAACAGGCGACTGAACACTACAACTCGTTAATCCTAGAGCGTGGCCTACGCTTTATGGACATTCTCGAACTGTGTGGCAGCTGTCAGCCACCATTGGCGTTTCTGGTGGAGCACCTGCCACGACTACTGCCGCGTCCCTACTCAATAGCCAATAGTCCTCTGGAAACTGGCACACAGGAGCTTCGCATCATCTATTCCGTACAGAGTCCGAAGGCTGGGGTGACGACCAGTATGCTGGAGGCAAAGTGCCAGCAGCAAGAGCAACCGGCTAAAGTGTTTATCTATCCACGTCTAACCAATACATTCCGCTACACGGAGGAGGATCTATGCAAAAACCAAATACTCATTGCGGTGGGTACTGGACTGGCCCCCTTCCTCGGTTTTCTGGCCCACAAGGAGCATCATCAGAAGCAGCAGAAGCAGCCGGTCAAAGGAGAAACTTGGCTATATGTGGGTGCCAAGACCCCGCAAGCTGTTCTCAAGCGAAACAAACTGCTAGCCTGGGAACAGGCGTCAGTGCTACAGCGTCTGCGTATGTGCCACTCCCGTGTGGAATCTCCCACCTACGTGCAACAGCTGCTGCAGGATGACGCAGAGGAGCTGGTGAAGCTGCTACTCAAACCGGATACAGTTCTCTACGTGTGTGCCGATGGCGCCAAGATATCCACGTCCATAGCCAGCGGTGTCGGCCTCTGCCTGCAGAAAGTCCTCCATCTGGACGAGACGGAGGCCACACAGCAGCTGAAGGAGCTGCGCCAACAGGCCAAATACCGCGAGGATCTCTGGTTGTAGGACGATCACAAAAAGAATGCTATTGATTTGGTCGAATAAGTAAATAACGATATATTTAACAACACAAAATAAACATTACAGTGCAGCGGACTAAACTAAATACATACAATGGTGTGAGGGGGAGGGACACATCTCGGCATTATCATCCTCAATGATCAAAGTGGGGGAGTGGGACGACAAGAACTAAATGTTTTTCTGTGAGTGTGTGTGTAAATTACATTTAAATGCTAAATTGCAAAATAATTATAAATAAGAGTACAGAATATACGATTACGACTTAGGTTTTTTTTGTAAGCAAAATAAAATACATTTTGTGCATTTTGTAGAAAATCATAAAAAATTATTGTGGAATTTTCTTTTGTTTTTTTGTGCGTAACGTAACCGAACGATGAAGCTACCATTAAAGCGCTTTCGTTATCGCCCAAATATCGATATCTTCGTAGTTGTTATCATACTGTTTATTTACCGGCAAGCCATGTCTAGGCCTTGCTCTTTTTCTTTAATATGCTTTCTGTGTCTCGAACTACATTTAGTTTTAATTGAAATAGCGCCAATTCTTCTTGTATAATTACGAATCGATCAAAATTGATTTCAGCTTCTACATTCACTTCCCTTCGCTCTTCTTCCTCGTCGTCTCTTTACAATTGCAATAAAAGTTGCGTATAAAAAATTTATGCTACCATTTTTTTTGTTTCGGTTTGTGTAAGACTTAAGTTTCATTTGTTACGTTTACGTTATTAATTGCAATCTTTGCTTTCGTCTTAAATGCGTTTTTTGCGAATATGTAAGGTCGGGTATGTCTCGTGTTTTGTTTCCAATGAAGCCCATCCCTCTCCATCCTTCTACCAAATACTTCTACTTTCCGTTCGTTGCCTTGCCTAATCATAATACTCATATTTAAGCTAAACTAAGAAAATCAAGTAAATTTTCGTTAAATCTGTTAAGCTCTTTCAAAATCATGAATGGGATTTCGTTTCGTATATAAATTTTATCTATGAACCGATCTGCAGCAGCAGCAGCAGATTTTAGCCACTAATATCAGAATAGCAAGTAAAAGAAAAATCCCTACTAAGATTTCTACACACAACTAAGAAAAGCTAACCAAAGATCCTCAAATATACCCTTTTCATTCTTGCAGAGAGAGCATACGTTTTCGGATAAATCTAGTGGTTTGGAAAAGAGCTTCTACTTCAAGTAAATTTAACTAAGCAAAAAAACGGATGCCAAACAGAACTATATATGTATGCATTTCGGTGCTTAGGTGCTGATCGATTACTTTCTTTCGTTACTCTTTTGGCATTGCTCGTAATTTCCCGCTGGGACTAGGTTTTCGTGTATGGATACCACATCTACATATGGATGTATACTCTCTTTAAGGATATTCTTTTTAATATGTTTGTTTTTGTTTTATAGCTTTGACACACACATTACTGATATCAAAACAGCTCCTCCCATCATCTATATGGTTCAGTTTAGAATAGTATTACAATTCCTGCTCTATTAAGTATGGAACTACATTATCCTTTTTGTGCGTATGGCAAATTTTATCGAGAAGAGGAACAGGTGTTGTCTAATTTAAATTGTTTTGTCGTTAGTCTTATGTTTGTACTAATTTAAATGGAATATCGAACAAACTTTACACTCAATCGAACATTTTGCGAATATCAGCTAGTACAAATAGTACACACAGATTTGTGTTGGTATGCATGCTTTTAACTATAGCTATATCTGATATCTGTGTTTTCTATGGGAAAGACATGAATTGTATAGATAATTTTGTTGTTTGTTTGTTTTCTGGTGTTGGTGTGGTTGTCGCTTTGCTGCTGCGCTAGCTCTAGTCCTAATGGCACTTGTTACACTCACTTCTCCACTTGCTCTATCTCAAGCTTCTTTACTTGATATTTTTTATATATTTTTGCTTTCTAATTTACAACAAGTATTGCAATAGGGTTTTACTGTATGTGTATGGTTTTGGAGTTTTGTTTTCACTTAGAGACTACGACGAATTTTATGTAGAATTGCATAATGCAGATTTGATAAAATCGCTTAAATCACAATTATGTAAATATACGGGTATATCAATATTAATCCAACTTATGTCCAAAACATTTAATAATACAATATCTATATCATATGTGTGTGTGCTCCTTTGTGTGACTGTGTGTAGTCACATACATTTTTACAATGTACGAAATAAGCTAATTTTTTTGCCATATGACAATCTAATCTAAGCGATAACTGCTCCCCCGCATTCCGCCTTCCTGCATGCGAGAGAGTGAGCGACGACGAAGACTTCCCAGGGCGCGTTCACGGCGATGGTTTCCTCTTGCCTGTCACACGTGCTGCTGCTGCAAGAGAGACAACGAGAGAAGAGAGATAGTATCAATATTTGTGGGCTGCCAAATTGTTAAAGTAACAGCAGAGTACAGTTAAAGTCAACAATTGGGGCATAATTAACATTTCGACCTCTAATAATTGCGATCACCCTGAACATACCGTCGTGTAGGATGTATGCATATCGTGTACACATTCCTATGTATTGGTAACCAGCCACGTAAAATGTATTAATCATACAACTTGTTCTTGTTATCAGCGAAAGACCCTGCTTATCAGTTCTTAAGAGGGGAACAGTGATATTAACAGCTGATTAGGTGTACTGGGGCAAAAAGAATTTGTTAAATATAGACCGCTCTTCACTCATTGGGGGAGGCCATTTGTAAGTGGCGTTTGGTTGGAGGTCAGGTGCGACTGCATAATATTTAATAATAATTCATTATCTGTGAGGTTTTATGGCCCTCAAGCCCCCATGCCCCACCATTCTAGCTTGCGATATCTGCATCATTTTTTGGTACCGTTTCACCAGTTTTGTATGTCTGCTGTGTTTTATGTTCGTAGTGCGCCGCATATAAATCGGAAAGATAGTAGAAATAGACAGACAGAGAGAGAGAGAGAGAGAGAGAGAGAACTGTGTGGGGTATTGTTATGCCATGGGAGAGCAATGGGGAGTCAATTATCAGCGCAATAATTATTTATATTTATCAGCATGTGAAGCGCAACAGCGCACCCGCTCAAAAAGTCACGCTTAAATTTCAATGAAACAACGTCCGACATATGTTTGTATGTATCTGACTGGGGCCTGTGGCATTGTTCCGTCAGTTTTCCACACAATTTTCCATCGACAAATCACAAACAAAACAAAAAAGAAAGGCAACAAGAGGGGCGCCCGAAATTCTTGATACTCTTACAACTCGATCAATCCGATTTTGATTTGAATGGAATACAAATAAGGTAAATAACAACAAAGCCTGATATTTTCTAAGAAACTATGAATAATAATATGACATAAATGAGATCGTAATTAAAGGTAATTAGAAAAGTAAAAATAAAGAATTTTGTGATGATGCATCCATCTTGGATGCATTGTGTTCATCAATATCATAATAGACCCTCTCCACTCTCTCTCTTGCAAGGGTATTTAAAACAATAGTTAACTGATAGCTGGCTTTGAATTCAAATGAGAGCATGCTCCAGATTTGATTAAAGCTACCAAAAGAAGTTCCATCCTATCATCATCGCCAGTGTCATGTGGAGTGCATGTGTGAAGCCCATGTGGATCATACTACAAAACATAGCATCCAATGAATCCACAATAAAAATATGTACATACATATCTATGTATATGTATGAATGTGCATCGTAACTGTAATTGTGAATGCAACGAATGCATGCATGCGAGAGCTCTCTGAGAATGTGTGCGAGTGTGGATGAGTATGCCGTTGCCAGACATTGGAAATCCTGACAAAATACCAGTTTATAATGTCGCTGCAAATCATTACAATAAAACACAAGTTTTGCATTGTTTTCTTGCGTGATTAAGAGTGGAGTGGGGGTATGACAAGCACCCCTGCCAGTAATGAAAAAAGAGCCCTCTGAGTCCACACGCGTTGCGAAGCCCCGAAAAAATAATGAATGAATCATCTAAAATTCCGCATAGCTACACCAAAAACAACAAACAATGTGGTTCAATAAACGAAACACACACAAACACACTGGAGAAAACACAGAAACCTTTGCGCAAGGTGAAAAATTATCGTTTAGAAGCGCCATTCGAAATCGAACTAAATGTGAATGGGGTTTAGTCATTGCTGGCTGTCTGTTTGGGGCGTTTTGCTGGGAAAAATACATATGTACATACATATACAAGACGTTTTGGCAGTGAGGAAGGGGTTTCAGAGACAAATGTATTCATACTAGAGCGGCTCTGCCTTTCGCTTACTAATGCACACTACACACATTTGGCACGAGTGGAAGTGTACTTTAACCCCTTAAGCATCATGGAGCGGGGAGCGTGACCTGCGGCGCCACTAGCAGGAGCAGGAGCCACAGGCACCACTCCCAAAGAACTGCAATATTTGCAATATTCTTATTCAACTCGTTCTTTCTTTGCTTTTTTCTTGGCATTCAAAAAACGCAATATCCGCATCTAAAATGAGCAAAAAGTCGACAGATAATCGGCTACTGTGTGCATCTCCCTCCCACTCCACTGGGTAAGGCAGAACGGAAAGCAAAAGTAAACTAAACAAATAAAGAGCCTAGAGGAGATCCGGTAGAAAAAGAAGAGGAGGCATGAGCATGCAGACAACAGAGGAGCAGGAAAATAACTCTGGATAGGAGGGGGAAGAACTCTGTCTAAAGTGGGAGTGGGAGAGAGTATAAATAGCGCAGCAAAGTCGCGACGGTCGCCTTCTTTCCCCTCAGACAGCTACTGCTGCACAAGCAATTAAATTGAATAAGTGGGAGGGTGAGATCCGAAGACATGGGGAAAGACAGAAGACGGAGAAGGAGCAACGCAAACAGAATCACACTCTCATTCTTTGTGCTGCTCGCACACACACCCACACGATCACACGCACGGACTCTACTTCGACTCCACTTTTGCTTTCTTTAGTCTTGCTCGCTGTCTTCCTCTCTCATATTCTGCTCTATGATTTATTTATTCTTATCATATGAATGTACATACATATTGAAATGCCACGAAAAATTGTACTGAAAATTTGATAAATTCCGCACAAATTTGGAGCCAGGGGGACTTACAATAGCACTTATAGAGTGGTGTGATAAGAAAAAGAAAGAAACTTTCAGCTGAAACTGCGGAAGAGTGTGGGTGTTTTGTCTGTCTCTCTGCTGCATGTGTGTGTCAGTGTGTGAATTTAAGTTTTTTGTATTATTATTATGTATGAATATTATTTTGGCCAGACAAAGCGATATTCCAAACAGGAAATGCGAACGAGCGTGTTAAATTGCGTACTTTGCCTTGTTTTTTGTTGTTGCAGTTGCCTCTGCTATGCTGTCGCTGCTCTTCTTTGATTGTATTGTATTGTTTGTCATTTTTCAATGGGATTTCTTGCTCTTTCAGCAACAACCAAACTTCATACGTAATACGGTAGGCACACGAAAGAGATGACACTACACATGAGTGTACTCGTAAACTAACGGCTCATGCTTTCCTCTCCGGGATGAAGTAAATGCAAAAGCAATTTCGGAGAGTGTGCAACAGAGTGAGAGGGAGATGGCTGTTGGACTATGAAAAAAGAGAATACCTTTGGTGGTCGACCCTTTAAATACCCTTGATTCTTCGTTTCTATTTTCCAGAAGGTCTGTCGGCTAATCCGAACCGGCTTAATCAACTGTTACACATGATCTTTGGATGTGTTCATCATTTAATCCAGAAATCTGTCTTAAAAATAACTTTTCTGCCGTGAAAGCATGTCCGCTTCGTTTCTTTGTTACAGACGTCTGGTAAACGTTTAGTACCCTCTGCATTTAGACCTCGTGCAAACTGTTCAACCTTGATCGAAGTTACCTTCGGTAATCTCCAGCTACTGATTAAACTTATCAAGATAGTCAACAATCGCTCTTTTGGCCTGCCCGTGCTCTTTTGACAACTTTCGAACAACGCACTTAAAACTAACCCAACAACCAATAAACCGAAATGAAATGTTTCCTCATTTGTGGTATTGCGAAAAAGGTTTCCATTGAAATGGAGATGGGCTCGCGCATGAATAATCCGAAAAACTAGGGTAAACATGTGTGGGAACCCAAGCTACCTGGGACAGGGGATTGTGATTGGGATTTGGCACTGCGACTTACCTGTTTTCAACGGGGGAGTTCGCCAAGTCCTAGGTGCTGCTGCAGTTCCTGTTTTTCTATTTTACGGGGTTGCTTTACCACACTAAAAAGACTACGATCAGCATTCTGTTCCAGTTTCTTCCACACAAAATAAAATTTACATTGAAAACTCATTATACACAGGGGGGGGCTGGTCCGGTGGCGCTTGGTGTCGGGATCAAGATTTGGTAGTGGGGTTTCGATCACGCATAAAGCAGCCTGGCCGCCCGATGGTTGCACATTAACTATACGTTGCGTCGAAGCACCTTCTTGGCCGCCTTAATGTTGGGCACCAGGGCCTTAACCTCGCTGCAGTCGTTGAGGAAGGGATGGCTGAGCAGCTCGTCGGCGGTGGCCCGTCGATCGACCTCCACCTGAAGACAGCGATCGAGGAAGTCCTGCAGATTGGGGCTCAGCTTGTCCCAGCTCTTGACATCGGGCCGTCCGTTGGCAGCGATCAGGTAGAGGGCTCGCAGCGGTGTCTCGTATAGGTAGGGCGGCTGTCCCTCAATCATCTCGATGGCCATGATGCCAATTGACCAGATGTCCACCTTCTTGCCGTACTTCTTCCGCGTAACGACCTCGGGCGCCATCCAGTAGGGGGTGCCAACCATCGTCTGGCGCTTCTCATCTCCCTCGATATTGGCACAGAAGCCAAAGTCTGTCACTTTGACGCACCCGTCCATGCCAAGGAGCACGTTGTCCGACTTGATGTCGCGGTGGATGATGCCCTTCGCATGCAGGAAGCTAATGGCGTAGAGTACCTCGCGGCAGACGCAGGCGATCTGGCGCTCCTTCATCACAGTCTCGGTGACGACGTCGGTAAGTGGGCCGCCGTCCATGTACTCCATTACCACCCAGAGCTGGTCTTCCGGCTCCAGCAGATAGGCGTCGAGGAAGTTCACCAGGTTTTTGTGATTGAAGTCCTTGAGCACCCGGATTTCGGTGAGTATGAGATCCTTCGAGGACTGGTTCTTCATGTCGATCGTCTTGACGGCCACCTGAGCCTCGTTTGTCAGATCGCCGGCTATGAACACGATGCCGGAGGCACCCTTGCCCACCTCCAGGGTGGTCTTGTAGCGTTCCCGCGGATCCTCGGGATTGCAGATGGCTCTAAGTTCATCGTAGATCTCGGCATCGGTCTTCTGAGCCCGCTTCTCCTTGGACCGTCGCAGTATCGTCTCGTCGGGATTGTCGTCAGAGGCATCGACATGCTGGCCCTGCGCCGCCGGCTTGATGATGATGGTGTCTGTGTTGACCTTGTGGTGATCGTCATCCTCCCGCCGTAGGTCGGAGGAGCGCGAGAACTTCTGGGTGACTCGGGGCTTTGGCTTGATCTGTGGCTTGGGCGGCATCGTGTGCGTGGACTTTTTGGGCGGCACTGGCGGTGGCTCCTGTTGGCTGGTCATGGCTGGCGTTGCCCTCAGCGTTTCGCGGTGCTCCAGGTTGGATTTGAGCTCCTTAAACATCTCGTCGAGATGAGGGGCATGGGCATCCAGGGGACCATGGGACTGCTGGCTGCTGTCGTTGATACTGCTGCTGTTGCTGTTCCCCGTGGACGAGCCACAGCCGCTGCTGGTCTCCGTTTCGGTGGTCGTGGAGCTGCCATCGTCATCCGACTTCTCCGGATCCTGGGACTTGTGCTTGTTCTTGTAGTTGACATAGTTCTCGATCTCCTTGGACTCCTCGTGGATGACGTCCTCAGTGATGAAGGGTTTAAACACCTCGGTTTCCTTCTTTTTGATCGAGTAGTTGTAGTACTTGACGGCATGGTAGGCGGCATCCGGATTCTTGTCCTGCTCGTCCCGTGTGATCTGTGAATTCATCAGCCGCACCCAGGGCGCTGGCAGACCCTCCAGATCGCCCGTTTCCTGGTTTCGCGAGACATGAAAGTGCCGCTGGAAATTTGTGGGTGCACCGATCTCGGAGATTTGCTCCTTCTTCTTGAACCACTTGGCGAAACTCATGTTCGTGATGTTTTTCGGTTTGGGTTTTCTCTGTTCTGTCGGTTTTTCACTCTCTTTCGGATCTCGTTCTTCCTTTGTCTCTGGCGGAGACTTTGGAATTTTCTTCCAAACGCGATTAGTTGCGCTCAGCTCGGGAAATTACTGTATTTTGCTGCCGTATCGTAGGTAGTCAAGCAGCTCAGCTACTATCGCTCTCTTACTTGCTCCACCACTCACTGGCCCAGCCGTGAGTCATAAAAACAGGCACACGCACGCACACACTCGTTCTGTTCTGCTCGCGTGTAAATGAAAGCGTGTGTTTGTGTGGGTGAGTGAGAGCTCTTCTTATCTCTAACTGTAGTTGTAGTTGAGTTGCCTTCACCGTAGCTGTTTTTGTTGTTATTTCTTTTCTTGCAGACACACATAAAAAACGCAGCAAATTTTCACTTTTTATTGCCTGGCCACTTTCTTAATTATTACGATATTGCAGCCTTAATTCATACAGTAATCACAATTTTTCAATTACAATACACAAACACGGACGCGGACACGAACACGCACACACACATCACGGGGAGTCGAGTCGGACACAAAAGGAGTGGCCGCCGTCTTGTTCTTTCAGTTGTTGTTCTTATAAATTGGCAGTGCCGAGAAATCCTTTTGCTATATTCAACCATTCGTGTAGGCCATGGTTAAGCAGAACAAACCAATTTCGGAGGGCAATCAATTAAAATTTTTTGAGAGCCGATTTGAGCTCTGCTTTGTATGTAATTAAAAAAACTTTTTTGATTGAAAAAATCGGCGCTGCAACTCGGCTAGGGTTGTCAAATATATATCAAAATATCAATATATCGATAGTTTTTTAAAATAAAAATATATTTATATAGTGATTTTTTTTCCCAAAATATCAATATATTGATATGTTTTTGAGCTATTTAAAGTTCGGTAACTAACCACAGGATCTCAATAAATGTATAGAGTATGTTTCCGATATATATATTATTTTATTTTGATATTTTTTCCTAGCAATATATTTCACCGATATATTTAAGATATTTAAAGCGTGGAAGCAGTGAATCTTTAAATATTTTCCTCGATTTTTATGTTCTATTTGATATTACTAGCTAGTTAGGAGTCTCCGCGGTAAAACTATAGTTTCATCCGATTGATGAATTATTTCTGCACAAAATTAGTTAGTTTTCATGACTTATTTCTATTGGATTGTTTGCAAAATCAAGGAATGGAATGTTCCTTTATTTCACAACTAGTAGTATGGTATGTTATTAATAAATATCGATGTATCGGTAGTTTGCAAAAGACAGTGTTAAATTCCACTACACTTCAAGACTGCGAGACTAGTTTACAGCATGAAGTGTTAGCGAGAAAAATATATGCCTTAGTTTCTATTTTTAGCAGATCTGTTGGGAGCACAACAGTATCATACACGACAAGACGTCTACATAGAAATGAGCACTCCGAGCGGTCTTCGATTATAATGGATTCGATGTTTAAACATATTGTATTTCGTTTTTGTTTAGAGGCTTCAGCGTATTCATACGCATAATATTTTATTGTCTTATCTCATGCCATCTCCATGCTTTAGACTAGACTGTTCTTGCAGTGCAGTTGAGTATTACTTTAAGAATGCAATGAAAGTGTGCAGCCTATCCAATACATGAATATATTTATATTTGAAGAATCTTTTTCAGCCATAAAGTGTAGCTCAAAATAGGTGTGCAACCAAACAAGTATTTAGATCATCGCTTCGATGGACTTTTAGACCACTTGCCGCGATACCTATCGGTAACGCTTCTTAGGAGGAGGAACTTATCGGTAACGATCAAAAAGGCAATCAAAATGATGATAAATTCTATTTAAATTTTAAAAGTGCTCGAGGATTACTCGTCGTAAGTGTCCTCCGCGGTGGCCGGAGCAAAGCGTACGGGTCGTATCATCATGCGGGCCGTCTTCAAGGTATAATTACCGCTGCGCCAGTCTGCCCAGATGATACCAGAACCGCCCGATCCTGGATAGATCCCATTGAGGTTGCACTCCTGGCATCGATCGAACCACCAGCCGCTGCCAAAGCGCACGGCACAGGGCACATTCTCGCGCGGGCTCTGGTCGTTCCTGCGGTCGCAAGTGCTGAAATCCATCTTGTTGTGGTACTCCAGGGCATCGGGCATGGAACCCTGGTAGCCGTCGATAACCAACTGGTAGTTGTAGCTCTCACTGTCCAGCCGGAACACCGCGTACTCGCCCCAATCTCGCGCCCCATCCTGATCCTCCAGCTCGATGCGCAGCATGTGATCGTCGCGGTAGACAATCTTGTGTATAAATTCGTTGCCAAACCAGAAGTCCCGCTCCAAGCTACCGAACCCCGTACGGTACTCGTCCCAAGTGCGATTAAAGTTCTCCTGCTGCTGGTAGGGTCCGCGACTCTGTATCACTGTCCAGGCCGGACCATCCAAGGTGAAGGCGCAAAAGCGCTCATTGAAATCGCGGCCGACTTCGTTTAGTTCTGGCACTAGGAATTTATAGACGCCATCCCGTCGTGTGGCGTCCTCCAGCTCGTAGCAGTCCGCCTTGGCTGGTTGCATTGGATCTGCAGTGCATCGATTGTCAGGTGAGTGTCGGGGTATTCCTTTATATATCAAATTACCGCTTACCCAATTTCGGTAGTTCCTTTTCTTCGTGTTGCTCTGTTACATTTGCCAATGCCTTTGCTTTGTGGTCGACTAAAGTCTCATTTGAAGTAGTTTCCTCACATTCTGATGCATTAATTTTCGCTTCTATTCTACTGAGAATGTCTGCGGCCCTCTCCTCACTCTCCAGCCGCTGAAGCAGCTGATTCATGCGCTGTGATAGCTCCAACACGGGATCCGGTGGCAACCTTCTTGGGGCATGCACATCGGCATCAGTGAGAAACAAAACCTTGATTAGGACATGCCTCAGTGTAAACTCTAGATGAGTTAGCTTCAGCTGCTGTTTTTCCAGCAACTGCCTGATGCTTGGCTCCGATTTGGCAGTCAGCATTGTGGATCCACTATAGAAAGTACAGCTGAGGCCCAGCAGGAATACCAATGACATCTACCTCGAAAAAGTAAGCGCTTTAGAGGCTTTTTCGTCGAAGATCGATGATGTTCTTACCATCATCTCGTGGCGTTGTTCGATCGTCAACTGAGGGACCACATAGAGTGGCGTACCCTCTGACACAGACACATGGTGACAATAATTACCACATCTGTTACCCCCCATAAATAATAATAATTAATGGAATGAAGCATATGAGAACACAATCTCTGGCTCGTAATTTTTACGAATATAGAGTTCTGTATTTCTGCTATCCTTAGTAAATCTTTCACATATTTTTCTTTGCTTTCTTCAAGTATTTAACGAGAGGAAAAATAATTAGAATAAACATTTCAACGGCGCATTTAACCGTTCTTGTTTATGTTTTTTTTTGTGTTTTGTTGTTTTTGTTTAATAACTACTAACGTTTAAAGTAGAAATGAAAACGACTAAGCGACTAAATACATTACATATACATTTTCGTGCTGCACTCAACTGCACCCCCACACTTCTCTTCTCTATCTCTTCACTTTCGATTCTTCTCTTCCGAATATTTCTTTTTTACATAAGTTTGTTTCCTAACCAAATATGACGTAAAAGCAAGCTTGAGGGGGGTTGGATTGGGTTTGGTTGGTGTTGGTTGTTGTGCCGGTGCGCGCGATTACATTTCATATCTTCTACTAAATATAAACCGCACTAACGGCATCTATTATATATATATATGTATGTGTGTGTGTGTGGGTTCTTTGTATATTATATATATATTTATAAGTTTATTTGTTTAAATGTAGATTAGCTTAAATCTTTTCTTCTTGAACGCACTGTGGGGCTTTTAGCCCAAGTGCCTGCTGCCTTGCTGTCTTCTCGCCGATAAACCGAACGCACTCACCACCCACACAGTTACACAAGAAAGTGTTGCATTTCGATTGACAGAGTGGTGGGTGTGTTCGATCCTTAATCGCAAAGCTAGTCGAAATCGCCTCAGCATTATTATTGTTTATATTATAGTTTACACTTGGTTTTTTCTCTTTTAGTTTTTCTTTAGAATTATTCAGCTTATTCGCTATATTTTTTCTGCTTTTTATTTACAAGGTACACAACACCTTCTCTCTTAACTAGTTTTCTTTTCGCATTTCTTTCTTTCTCCTTTCTCCTCGCGGCGCATGTGTGTGTGTGTGTCGTAGAACTAAATAACTTAGAAGATTGTTAAAGAGTACGCCGTGCCATGCTGTCGGTCATCAGCCCAGCGGGTGCGACAACAAAACGACGGCAAAACAAACAAATAGAAATCTTTTAAAACAAGTTAAAATACTCGATCGCTCCATACCATCTCCTTTTTGTGTGTTTTTTGTGTGTAAAATTGATAAAACATCGTTTTCTATGTTGTTGTTAAAATTATGAATTGGTAACGAGAGAGAGAAAGAATGAAAAGTTGTTTGCTTTGGATATTGGGTTGGCTTTTTAGAGACGTTTGCGGGGTCCATCGCTGCGGGTCTTCCATTCAGGATCATTGGGATCATCGTCTCCAAACGGATCATCGGCCATGTCCTCCTCCAGGGCCTCTTGGTCACCCAAATAGGCATCGATCGCAGAGTTGTAAAGATCATCATCACCATGCATTTCGTCGTCATCGAGCGGTGCCAAATGATGCTTGGGGTAGTCCTCCTCCAGCTCCTCCATCAGCATATCGTCAGGATCTGGGTCAAAGTCCACGCCGTCGTCCATGTCATCTTCCACCTCCTCATCCATGCCACCATTGATCTTTGCTGGAGTCGCTGCGGCAGCATCAGCAGCATCAGCCGTTTGGTGACCATTTAGCTGACCATTGAATTGCCCATTGACTAGCTTGGTCTTCGTCTTGCTGCTGCGGCGTTTGCTCTTTCCGGCGCTCGCTGATCCCCCATCGCCATTGGAGGATGTGGACTTGCTCTTGGTGCGCTTCACCTCAGGCTTCAGTACCTCTTGCTTGGGCGGGGCATAGCGCTCGGACAGCATCTTCTGGTAGACGTCCTCGGCCAGGGGAAAGATCAGCGGCTCGAAGGGCGATGGCTCAATAAAAGTCTGTGTTTGGAAAATGTAAATGGTAAGAGCTTTCCGCTCTTCTCTCTGAACTCTCGTACTTACATCTTTTATGTCCGGCGTGGCACTGCGGCGTTCCATCTGATCCTTAAGCTTGCTGGACGTAGTCCTTCGGCGTGCCTGAGGTCGTACCGTTGTCGCCACCATCTCCCCGTTATCGTTGAAACCCTCCAGTGGATGGGCCAACGGCGAGGGTATGCTCTCGTTGTCCCCCAATCCACCGGCACCACCACCACCAGCCAGATGTGGCGCTGGTGAGGCCGAATCCGGTGTATTGGCGCCACTCGATTCGGCGCGACTGTCCACCCGGCGATTGGCACGCGGTCGCGTGCTCCACGGAAACTTCAGATAAGTCTCGAAGCGTTGCCGCTCTTCGATCTGGGCAAGGTGATGTCGCCCAGCGTACGCCTCATCGGAAGTGTCCTCATCTTCGTCGTCCTCCTCCGGGTCCAACTGTACGATTGGCGCAATCGATTGGCCGCCATTCGTCTTGGGTTTGTCGCCCTCTCCGCCCTTGGCCAGCTGTAATTTGGGCCGCTTGGCCATTGGTTCCACCGTGGCTATTCGGACACCTTCAATCAAATGAGGTTTGCTCTTTTCTTCGACTCTTGTTGCACCAGCAGCAGCGGCAGTTTCAGTCGCGGCTTCTTCTTTTGTTACTGTAGCCGTTGCCTTTGCAATTTTCCCATTGGGCCTGTGCTTCTTTTTCTTGAGACACTTTCTCTTAGCTCTGGCAGACTTTTTTCTGCTGGCTTTTGACTGAAGTAACTCCCTATGGTTGCTGGTGGAGGGCTGGTTGTCCTTTTCATCGCTGGTGGAAGACTGGATGTCCTTCTTGTCGCTGGAGGAGGACTGCATGTCTTTTTGGTCACTGAGTGTTGACGGAATGTCCTTTAGGTCGCTGGCTGTTGGCTGAATATCTTTTTTATCAGTCATCAATGATGACTGAATATCGTTCTCCAAGCCAACTGCTGACAGGATATCCTCATTCCTGACATTAGCCTTCGCCTGCCCAGCCAGCACCTGGAGGACAGCCTTTTCTTTCTCTTTATCCTGCAACTGGGGGGGAACATTCTTCTGCTCACAAGCCTCCGCCTTCTCCTTTCTTATATTACCATTTACCAGTCCATTGTTATTGTTATTATTATTGTTAATATTGTGCTTGGTGTTCTGCTGTAACTTCTTCAAGCCATTCACCTTCGAAGGCTGCCCAGGCACCGACTGTGCCTGTGGCTTCTGTTCATTTAACGTTATACCAGCTGCTGCTGCTACCGCTGGCACAATGCCATTCCCGCCGGACTTAATCTCTGTTTGTGTTGGTAGTGGTGGCGCTGGTGGTGCTGCTGGTGCTGGTGCTGCTGTTGAATCATCAGTTGATGATGCTGCTGGTTCTGCGGGTGTTGTGTTATCAGTCTCGCTATCGACAACGCGCCATCTACACAAAAACAAGAGTACAGATTTTATACAAATGATTGAGTACCGAAAGAGAGAGAGAACATACTTGGGTGTGGGTATCTCTTTGTAGGGCAGTATCTCCACCTTCGTTTGAGCAGCAATACTATAGGGTATAACAATGTTATCAATATCATAAACGGGACGATGACGACGCTCTGTTGTTCTGAAAGTAAAGGTTTTATCGAACCTTTGCTGTAGATTATATTGTTTATTCCTTACCTCTCCGTGCGTTGATTGTGCGTGGGTGAGGCGTGACGACTACGGCTACTACTTCTCAGATCTCCTCCTACTCCTACTCCGCTTTGATCGCTATACCCATTTAGATGACTGTTGTTTGGTGCGTTGGAATTGCTGTTGCTACTGCTGTTTTTTGTGGATGTGCGACGCCGCTTAGCGTCGCTGTTCGAGATCTGAGGTGCTGTTGCTGCTGAGGAGGGACTGAGGTGGCGCTGTCGTTGGCGTTGGCGAGAGTCTGGCCACGATATGCTCGAAGCGTTCATTCCAATCGGTGGCTGCGTCTGCTGCCTCCTGCTCGCTGCATCCCCATATGATACGAGAGAAACGAAGGGCAATAATAAACAATTTGATGATGTTGCATATGGTGATTGGTGGTTGGTTGGTTGGTGTTTTGGAGGAAGGATCGGTGGTTTCGGTTCAGTTCGGATCGGTTCAATTTGTTGTGGATTCGTGTTGATAGTTTTGTTGTTGGTTTGGATGGAAAGAAACAAAAGAAGAGATGCAAAAGATTGTTGTTGTTGTATGTTAATAACAAATATCGAATGTTTGTCATGTTTACAATAATTTACTGTTGGCCACAAGTGGCGTTGTAGAAGGCGTAGAAGAAGTAGAAGTTGCTGTACCATTTCCGCTGTCCCCAAGACCCGTCGCCGCTGCTGCCGTTGTAGTGGCATCTTTATTTGAGTTTGAATTATTATTATTATTGTTATTGTTGTTACGCTCTTTGCGTCTTATATAGCGACGCTTGATCAAATCGCCGGGACGACGAGCAGCACTATTGCTAGCAGCAATGGCCTCGCGTTCCGCCCTATGAACACCCTTGACAACGGTCTTGGCCTGACAACGTGATACGCGTTGCTGCCAGTCCCCTTGCCGGCTAACGGCCTCAAAATGCACAGATTGAGTTACATCTAAGGAAGGTAAAAGCAAAGGATTATTTATGATTTTGTAACTAATTGAAAATGTACTACTGCATACCCGTGTCAAAGCTGAGCACTGGATGATAGCCGGGATCGAGGAGCGCCACTCGATTTGCGGGCATCATCATTTCGGCCAACTCTCGCGGTGCTGTCGGATCTGGTCGTCCCGTGCACAGGGCACACGGTATCTGGGGCCACTGGCAGCCGCATTTGATGTTGCTGGGGCGTGCTGCCTTCTTGGAAATCGTGTGTATGCCCGTGGTCTGGAATAGGCTGCGTTTACGAAACTTGCTCAGCATCAGGGGACGGGCGCGGCTGCATTGCCATTCGCTGGATGGTTCCTCCTTGTAACCATTAGCCGGCTGCTGCACCTGCATCGGCTCCAGCTCCACGGCGCCCTTTGCTTGAGTCAAATCTATATACATCTCACGATACTGGCGCTTCCTGCCCTCCAAATCTGCCATTTGTGAGCAGAGCCAGGACCAGCGCAGTGCAATATTTGCTCGATCCTTAGAGTATGTCCACACGGCACGACGGGCGCTAAAACAAGCAAAATATGCAAATTAGTCGTGGAGGTTCAAAGTTCATTTTCTAGCTCTACCTAATCAAAGTAGTCTGTTTTTTTTGCCATTGCAAGATCGTTTTTTTGTTGTTGTACATATATTTAATATTTCTAAATTATTTTCTTAGCGCGCGCGTCTTTAATTCGTTCTGGCAGGACATTGATGAGTGGGTGAGCCGTACACCCATTTAAATTAATGCAAAATATGAGGAATACGTAAAGACATTAAAGTGGTAAGTTTTTTTATGCCATTGTTGATCTTTAAGAAGTCGTAATCGAAACTAAGCTTTCAAAGAGAATGAGAATAAGAATAGAGAATTCATAGATATTGAATGGAAATGATTCTCTTCAACGATAAGACCACATTAAAGGATGATAAATTCTTCCCATTTCATATTGGATCGAATACCTCCAAGTAGCCTCTAAGCCTACTGTATCCTAGAACTAATTTTCAACGTCTAATAGAACGTGTGACACGAACAAATTGAAACATTTACAATGGAGAAACTCGCACAGAAGCAATACCCAAAGGCAAGAGGATTACTTACATCGTCAGCGACTTCTGTTCGTTATTATTGTAGGTGACCATCTCGTCGGCAGACTCGCCGCCAGAGCTCGACTCTGTCGCATCCGAATCAATGGCATTCTGTATCTCCCGCATCTCATTGTGCAGCAGCCCAGAGACGTGGGTCAGCTCGTTGGTTACGTGTGTATCAAAGCAGGGTATAATCTCATGCAAACCGGGCGTTTTCTGTTCAATGACTGCTGCTGCTGCCATTGATGTGGATGCCGCTCCTGCTGATGTTTCCAGCTGATTCTTGCCACGACGTGCCTTTGCAGGCACGGCCGCTGCACAGCTGGCACTGTTGTACCATGTAGAAGATGGGGCCAAGGTAGCAGAACCACCGCTGGGCGTATGACAGATCTGCTGGTGCCGCGCAGCCGTTGCAATGCTGCGAAGGATGCTGGCCATTTGGTTGGCTGGCACTGGATGCTTCGTTTGATGTACCCAAAAGTCCGGCCTCGGTCGCCCGGATACGATCGACTGCACGGTGGTCTCCTGCTCACTGAGCGTGTCACTTCTCACGGGATTGGGTGTCTTGTGGGAGGTGCGAGCGGCCCATTCCATAATCCCGGCCACCTCATCGCTGGTGTGGCTGCACATTTGGCGCGCCTGGATCTTCCGCATGCGCCGGAACAGATGCTCCATCTTTCGCGTGAGCATTTGTTGCTGGTGCTCCATTGATTTCTGACACTCCGCCATCGAGTCTGCTGTTGGGACATGGGAAGTGATGATGCCGCTGTGACCGCCAATGGGATTCTGGGTATACTGTGGCGTGAAGGATCGTTGCGTGACCGCTGTCGCTTGTGGTGGCTCCTCCCACACCTCGCTAAAGAAGTTGAAATCACACATGTCCGGATTGATGACATGATTTCCCTCAAACGTTTTCAGTGCCTTGAGGACCTCTTCGATGTCGGGATCCTCCAGAACAACGCCGGCTGTGGCATCTTTGAGGAAATTTGTGGAACTGGAAGTACTCTGAGGCGTCAACTGTGACGCATTCAATGCTGACGCAGCTGTGGAGTGCCTCTGGCCCGGCAGCGGCGAAGCCAGAATACCAGGCAATTGCTCGGATCTTGGATCCTGTTGCACCTGTTGCCGGCTGGGCGTTGTGGGTGTGGCTGGAATAACAACCTCCACCTGCACCTGACCCTGCTCATGATCCAGCTGCACCGAAGGCAGCTCCACCAAAATTGTACTGGCATTGCCATCCAGCTGGCTGAGGCGCTCTGTAAAAACAGGAAAAAGAGAAGGAGTATTAGAGAGAAGGACTATGAAGGGAAAGGGCTCTCTAGATTATCTTTTGGTTGCTCTTCTGGCTTACCCTCTATATTATCTGTATCGATCTTTGGCAGCTCCTCTACTGACGCAGTCGTCGTCGCTGGTTGCTCCAATTCCATCGACTGAATCAAATCGATTTGTGTCTCTGGCTCTGGCACATCCGTTGTGGATTCTCCTGTGACTGCTTCTGTTTCAACTTCTACTTCAGCCACAGTTTCGGCTACTTCCACGGCTGTCTCTGCTCCTGTGAGTGCCACAGCGGATGGTGCTGGCTCCTTGCTGAGACTTACTTCGGGTAGGGTCTTGCGCAGACAGATCTCCGCCGAGATGGTCTCTACAAAATCGCTGTTCAGATGTGCCAGCAGCTGTGCCGTGGAGTTGTCCTTGCTGGCGCGGCTACCACTACTATTGTTGTTGTTGTGCTCGATGGTAGCCGTTGCAGGAGGCACGTCGGTGCTTGGAGGGGAATCGCTTTCTTGTGGAGCAGGTGATTCGCTTTCTTGTGGAGCAGGTGATTCGCTTTCTTGTGGAGCAGGCGATTCGCTTTCAAGGAGCACCGTAGCACTGGTTGATGCCACATCGGCGTCGCTAATGGGTGGCACGCTTGCTCCTGTGGCGGCTTCTGCTTCTGCCTCTGCTTCTGCAAAAACTGAACCTGTGCTCGTGGTGGTGGTGGTTGTTGTTGTTGTTGTGTGTGGGGTGGGAGCTGTGCTTAGGCCCATTGTATCATTATTTTGTTGCTTGTTGCTGCTATTGTTGCCGCCGCTTAGTTTACGCTTATTGTTACTGATTCTGCTCGATGGAACACGTTGCGGGACGACTGCAGCCGCAGCTTTGGTAGCTGCTGATGCTGCGGCGGCCGCCTCCTTGGAGGAACGCGTCACACGCGTTGTGGCCGTTGCCGGAGTGGGCGTCGCTGGTTTCTTCACCACCACCGATGGCGATGCGGCGCTGGTTAGCTTCTCCTTGGTACTTAATGGCTCGGCGGTGAGCGCTGGTGCCATAGTAGATTCGATGCCGTTGGCCAGTTCAGCTGCTTCTCCTGCTGATTATGCTCCTGTTGATGATGATGCATTCGCATCGGCTCCACACGTCCCGAACGTTGCTGTAGGAGCAGCCAATGGCCTCGCAAGCCGTTTCCTGATTCGCTTTTGCTTTGATTTTGTTACCGGATCTTGCGTTGCAGGTACGTTCCGATTCGACGAAAACTCGCTTTGGAAACAATTCAAATATTTTTTTATCAAAATGGTTTTCAAAATTAAATATTTGTAAGGAAAATGCAGAGCACACTTTTTGTTCTCTCCGTTTTGATACGCTTACAAATAAATTTAAAATCACACACACGCGCATACACTGGCAGAGCTTACTGCGTTAACTGTAAAATCATATTAAAACCTAATTAACTGTTAAACAAAAAGCCGCTTACATTTTTTAATATAACCCATACATTTTATTATCTCAATAGCCGCCTCTTCCTCCTCCAAAATGTGTCTTTTTCCGGCGTGTTATGTACAAAATACCCACACCACCCTAGGGACACTCACATACGCTAATAGTGAGAGAACAAATACTTGCAAGAGAGACAGAGAGAGATACTGGCGCGCGAGCGTGCGGACAGCAAGGCAGAATGCGCGCTATTGCTATTGCTCATTCACAATGATGCGCAATACAAAAAAACTGTATGGAAGAACTACAGACGCACACACATCTTTGCATACTGACGAAATCAGATTGCTTTCCAGATGAAAATCACAATTTTCCCTCAACTTTTCATCATGCTTGATAAACGAATTAACATATGTATTTAGTTCCTGCGCATGGTGCTGGCGATGCTGTTCTGGCTTCCACATTTTTATATAATTTCTTTTATTGAATTTTTTTGAGCCACAATTAGTGGACAAACAGCACAGCACCTCGCGCCTTTACAACACGCACACACACACACACGCAGACTCAAAAATATGCATGCACACGCAAACAAATACAAAGACGTGCTCGCGCTTATGAGTGTGTGTGTTTGAGAGTCTAGAAATGTTCCACTATTTTCAGTTATTTACACAATCCAATTTTTTTTTATACAACTCACAATCACAAATTGCCTTACAAATGCTTATTTGGTTGTAATCTGTTTCGTTTGTTGCTGTTTGAAACGATTAGAATCCAGCGGAAAAAAGGGAGTAGAAAAACGTTTTCAGCGCGAAAGTATTGTCCAAGTACTCACACACACACAGCCACACACACATTCACCGACGGAAGCAGAAGCACGCAAGAATTGGTAAATTGCTTAAAATTTAGGTAGTATTTTTTTGTTGTACGCACAATTAAACCGTTTTGCAAGATGTACACACAATTTTTGGATTTTTTTCTTACACAATGGCGTGGTTCGCGCTTGGGGTTTTCCAATGTTCTCGCTTCACACAATTTTTTCATTTATTTTTTTTTCATCGCTGCCTGCTACGCTTTTGGCACGACGTGTATCGAAGCTGTACTCGTTTGCGCCCTGGCAGAGCAAAGTACGCATGCCAAAACACCGGTCGTCCCGCTCTCACCTATACCGCTGCAATAGCAAATGCGTACGAGTAGTTTCGTGCGTGCGAGCGAGATGTCGTTTGAATCGAGTACCTATCGGCACTTTTTGGGATATGGCAACGCTAACTATTTAACTACTTTAAAGGCAACCCTGTGGCGGTGTCTCTCGTTTGTATTTGGTTTGTTTTTGTTACAACCAAATTGTTATTAATACATTGTTTGTGCATTTATTTTATGCGTCTTTTAGCTGTCTGACTGAAATTGCTGATTTGGGCTGAATCACTTATAGATGACCTTTATATGCTGTACGTTTTGAAATCGAGTCTACTGGAGGATAGGATATTTAGGTGCATGCACTCACATCACATTACATAGTTTAAGGAACTCTAAATAAACCGAAAATAAGTTATGTATTGAGCTTGCAACGTGTTTTGGGATCTAGCGCTTAATGGAAAAGCCACTGAAAGTATAGTCGGGAATTTCCTTGGCCGCCGAAAACGTTGCCTTTTCGATAATGGACGATGGACTCCCTTTGGTCTCTAGCCAATGTTTCCTGCAAACAATTGGTGTCAGGACACTAAAGTTAGCCTCAGATAGGTAATACAAATCCAAAAAACCTGCATTACATTTCGTTTAGCTGGGGAAGCGGTGCCTCCAATTGTCCCTTAACCGTGTCATCTCTGGTGTTCATGCACCAACCTCTAACGCCCAGGCTGTTTGCCTGGCTCTCCGTGTACTAGATTCGGTGACATTCATCACGCTGATCAGTCAAGTGGCCAGATTAACTATTCATCACTTACCTTGCGGAAGAAAACACCTGAAATGGTAAAATAAATTAATTAGATCATGCCAGGCGGATATCTGGTGAAACCAGGTCGCGAGAAATACCTTGTACACGTCCAAACACCTCGAAATCGCAGGCAAACAGAGGTTTGGCCACAGCAGATGCTGCCATTGTTGTTTCGTTTGAACTTATTTGGATATCGGATAAACAAATGCTGACTTGAAATGCCAGCAACGACAAAAATATAAAACTTACTACGGCAGAATTATAGTGCGGTGCCATAGTGACAGGCGTTGGCAGCTCTGTTCATTTTAACCCTTAGAGGGTCAGCAGTGCTCTACTTATTCACTGTGACCTTTTGATTCTCTTTGCTAGTAGAGATGATATACCAGAAATGTGAGTTAAATGAATTATAATATGCATGTTAATAATTTACATTAATTACGCAAAGAGAAGAGCTCTCGTTTAAATACAGCTTACTTGTTTGCAGGTCTAACAATAATACTTCTTAAAACCATCACATCGTATGGGTTAATAACAGAGTTACCACACCACGCTTAAATGACGAAATCGGTGTTTCAAATCCAACGACAATTATTTTTAGATTTTCTTTTATTCTCGTTTTAATATTTATTTAAGCATTCATTATGTGTGCTTTTTGAGTAGGGAAATATTCTGTCGGGAGAAACTCTATTTTTCCTACTATAACACATTTAATTCATAAAAGAAAACTCTTCCGAACTGGATTTTTCTTGGAGTGTGCCATCACAATAATCGCTGTAGATTCAACATTTGTGTAAATTTATAGTATTTTATGGAAAACAATTACGACTTACAGAGAGATTAACGAAACAATCATATAAATAATCGTATCAATTACAACAAATATAAAATTCATAGATCAGATTAATCAGAATCTCCCTCCCCTAGACCGCACCCATTTGCAAAATGGGCGTAAACAGCTTGTACGCCTGCTCGATGTATTGCACAGCGGCAAACATTTCGGCAAAGAATGTGTTGACCAGCTCCTTGGACGCCTCTGCAGTGTCGGGGGAAGAAACACCCTTGCTGCTCAGTAAAGCCGCAAAGCGATGACTCAGACCCTGCAGATGGCCATTGCATTGCTTGCAGAGATTGACAATGCCGTCGACCTCATTGGCGGTGCTGTGATGCTGCTTCACCAGCAGCAGTTCGGCAATCTTGTGCAGCTTACACATTTCCAAAGCACAGGCTTCGCTCAGGGCGTGTATGCTCTTGGCATACGCCTGTTCCAGATCGGATTCGGTGGCCTCTTCCGACTTGAGCCACGCAAGTGACTGCTTCCAGTGGCTAGAGAAAAGAAGAGTTCAGTGAACGTTTTCCCTTGTGCTTGGATTACTCACTTTGCCACCTCTTCGAACTGAATTCCCAGTTCGGCATCTGATATGGTGGCCAACAGACGCTCGCCGAGCTCCTCGGGCTCATAGTCGCCGTCGCTCTCGCACTCCAGATCCTCCAGCTCCAGCAGTTCCTTCACCTCGTTAATGGTCTCCTGCAGATCGGCCAGAGCATTGCCACTGACTGCATCCAGGAGCGTGTCCAGCTTCAGACGCGACTCTTTGGATAGAATTTCCAATGCTTCGTAGTGCACCAGACCGCAGTAGTTCTCGAAGAGTATCTCGAAGCGTAGTTGCGCCTTTTTCTTCTCCAACTGAAGCTGCATCAGCGATTCCTCCATTTGATCGGCATCCTTTTTGGCCTCCAGCAGTAATGCGCTCAAATTTGGTTTGTTGGCCTCCAGACCCAGGAGCTTCCTCTTGTTCATTAACTTGGGATCGTTGTCCTGCAGTATGGTCATGGTTTTCTTGCCAATGCCCTCGAGGGTATCCAGTCCCGTGTTAAGGACTTTGGAACCAAGATTCGTGACGAAACCCAGGCCAAATGCATTCTCCTGATTGGGATCAACTGGTGTCGCTTCTGGTGTTTCCTTGGGACTGACGACCGCCGTCTCCTCCTTGGCATTTTCTGCGGCATTGATGCGTGCCAGCTCCTCGGGATCGGGTACCCCTATAATCTGATTAAGGCCCTGATTCACTTGTGTCGTTATATTCCCCAATCCCTCGGTGGCTGTGCTGAGAACAGAGCTCAGTTTACCACCCCACAGGCCCCACGAGGAAGACGAGGAGGGCTCTGGAGCTGAAGATGTGATTCCGCCCGGCGGTGTTCGCAGCTCCAAGTCCAGTGGTTTCTCCTTCTTTGCTATTGCGTTGTTGTTGTTGTTTCTGCCATCAGTGTTTTCCTGCTCTTGCTCCTTCTCCACGTGCACAAACTTATCGTCGTCATCACCCCAATCATCCCAATTGTCGTCTTCATCACTCTGATCCCAATCGTTGCTTCCCTCTTCTTGCTTTTCTAGTTTATTTGCCATAATTTCAGATAAATTTTGCTTGGATCCACGTAGATTTTGCTATTCAATAGAGATGGCATGGCTCTTAAGAATATATTGAAATAACAATCTATCGATATATGTTATTTGTTGATACTTGCAGTCACAAATATCCCATACACACTGAGCCCATTCATTGGCGGATTTTTAACATATGGTAAACACCGATTCACACCATCTCCCATCCATGAAAAATAATCTAAAGACCATAAAATAACAAATTTTTAGTTTGAAAAGTGACTTTCCGATTTCATTGGTTTTAATAAAACTATACATGCATGTACAAAATAACTGCTTCTTTACAAAGCGCGCGTTTCCTATCGATATTAGATCGACGCAATTGGACCTGATCACCTGGACAGCTTGACCAGCGCATTAAACTGGAAGGCCGTTTTGGCTATATTAATACTTTAATTAATTGAATGAATAGGTAAAACATGTAAATTTTAGAAAATGTAAGTTCAACTATTTCTCACCAGATCGAATTTTATATTATATATATATTTTATAAATGAGAAGTAAATTTCGGGTTATCTTTGGGAGCTTTGCGGTATATTTGATCATTAAGTCCGTGGTCACACTGGAGCCCAATGAGGCTAGAGGTGGAGAACTATCGATAGTGGGCACCATCGAAAGTGGACGATAGTAGATTTTAAACCATCGATATTTCATCATTTTCGAAACATTTTCAGAGTCCGTGCTGCTGCAATCACAAACAGGCGTGGAACTCTGACGCTTACCTCTAATCAGACACAAATATTGCTATAATATTATAGTATTTGAAGAATACTATATTACCCTTTTGAAGGAAGCGATCCATTTTCTATTTTGATTGATTTTTTCACTGCTGTTTATTAATTTTCTGTTTGTTTGCCAATCGATTCGATTGAATTGACGCCACAACCTTAAAACGCTCATCACGCTACCATCATGATATTATCGACCACTATCGAGACTTTAAACCATCGATAGTGAGCTATGTCGATAGTGTCCAACTATAGATTGTACCGATAGTGCCATCGATAGTTCTCCATCTCTCCGGCTCCCAATTTTCCTCACCGCCTCCCGCGGCCAACAAGCTCACAAAAATCTCTTCGCTAAAAGAGCAGAACAAAACTTTAACAATTAACATTCAGAATAAGTGACTAATTTGTTGTATTTATCGTGCAGTGAACGAAACCATAAATAATTGTTGCATGGGCGAAGCCAACTGTGCCGCCGGCCGTGCTGGCGGCGTTATCTCGGTAAAAATGTAAGTAAAAATAGCGCGCTGCACTGCCGAATTGTATGAAATATGAACATGAGTTTTTATATTTAATATGGATATATTTAGTTTTGTGTGTGTGTGTGTGTGTGTGCCTGTGTAAAGTATGCTGTGTGACAAACAATTTCTTCGCGAAAGTTCCATTGAAGCCCTTTTCGGGTCTACGCCTTAGACTTTACGGATATAAATCTAAAGCAACAGAGCCAAAACATAGCGAAGCGCAAAACCAAAGCATAGTGGAAACAATAACAGAGAATGCCAGGCCGCCTGGCTTTATCATTTAATTTCAGAGGCTCCAGAGCAACGCAAATGAATTGCAAATTCAATTGTTAATGAATGTTACCAGTTATTAACCGCTGTTTTCCCCTCTCTCTTCCCCTCTCCCTTTCCCCTTTTATTTCGTCATTGCCGTTATTTTGCCTGCTATGGAACAGCTGATTCCATGGTATTAGAAATCATAGGGTAAGGTTGACGGCCAAATTTTCTAAAACTATGTATATAGTTTGTAGAAGTTAATCTTCAAAACGTAATTTGCTCGGTTATACGCAACAATTACAATCTTTCTGTTCCCTTTGATGAAAAAAGAAGAGAGAACTTACCTTTTACTTTGTTGCTGGCAACATTTTTAGGCCACCCAGCAACATTTAAGCACATCATGGTATGTTGCGAATTGGGGTGGATTAAACTTTACTGGTCCGTTTCTGAGCAACACGTTTCTTGCCGAGCAACATTTTTAGGCCCCTGCAACATTTGAAGGCGGGCGTATTTGAAATCGGCCTTGCCGCCCCCCAAAATTGAATGAACCGCGGCCAAGTAAACAACACAATCGTGTGAATTTTCTGAACTCAGAAAAGCGTACGGCGGTAAAGTTGATAATCCAAAGAAAATATCCGTTTTGTTTTTCCGCAAAGAAATCCACCACAAATATATACTATCTAGAAAAATGTATAAAAATAAATTCCAATAATGTGAACTTGTGTGTGAATTAGAATCCAACTATTCATTCATTTAACTGAGCGTGTATGTGTCTGTTTGTGTGTGCCCGTGAGTGTTCCTCTCTGATTGGGGAGCCACGCAAATGCCGCAGCCAAAAATAATTTCTGATCAAAGAAAATACAGAGAGAGAGAGAGAGAAGGAGCTACTTTTGGCCTCTTTTCTTTCTAGTTGTTTGGTTTTTTTAACGCGCTGCATGCCGGCGGCCCTGGCCATATAAAAAAGGCTAGAAAATACCTTTCGAGTGGGAGACGGAGGGATGTCTGTTTATAGTTGATATCCGCACAAGGGTATCATCGTTTTCCGTGGATTCCTCATTCATGTTTGGTATTCCGCGTCCGATTCTTGCTGGCCTACTAATTGAAACTGGCTCACACACACACACACACACACACACATGTACACACACGCACACATAGGCGAGCGAGGCGCGCGAAAGGTCTCTTACCAAATCTGCTCTCTTACATGTTTCTTTCTGGCCTGTTCTGGTTTTTTTTTTTAGGTCTCCGACTCGTGGTCAAAACGAAAGCGCCAAAAGCAAATAAAACAGATAAGAAATAGCCAGAAAAAGGCATTTTATAGTGTGTGAAGTGAAAAAAAAATATATTAAGATTCGGGCAAGTGTAAGAGCGCCGAGCCACCCCAAATCCACTGCAATTCTGCGGTCGATAAAAAGTTAATTAATTCTACAAAATAAAATACAAAACAAAACAAAACCCGAATTAGTGCCGGGATGAGTGCCAACAGCAGCAGAATGAGGAGACGCAGCAATAGCTGGTCGTCGGAAAAACAGCCGGCGGCGCAACTTTCTCTGCCTGCAGACGATGACGTTGCAGGGGGAAATGGTGGAAATTTGCTGGATATGCCCCGCATATGCCGCTGCTGTTGCAAACGGGATTTGGAGTTGCTTAGCCTCTTTGGGGCCGACAAACCAACCATATCCTCCACAGCAGCCTCCACAGACGTGGAGATGGAGACAGACACAGACACATCTACGATGCGACGCCGCAGCACCACCACATCCACGCCTCTGGGGGATCGCACCAACGGTAATCCCGTAGACTACGCCCTGAGCGGCGCCCACAGCAGCATGGACATTGTCCTCGAGGAGATGATCATCTGGATGCTCAATGTAAGTAGTTGCTACCGTTATCTCTCGCTCTTGAACTCCCCTCACGCACTCGAACGTTGTTGTTCTTTGCGTGTAATTTTTAATGTTATTTATTGCCCACACACAACCAAACACACACGTGTCGGACTCATTTAGTTTGAAGTACCGTTGACCGTCTCTCTCTCTCTCTCTCTTGCTGTGTCTCTCTCATCTTTTATTTGTCCTTAATGCAGGGAAATAAATTAAATTGTCTGGACATTTGCACAAAACAAAGCGAAGGAAAGAGCAATACATATAAATAATAAATAATACATACTATGTACATACACACGTTGCACCCCGATAAACCTTCTCAGAACTTGACTACACCGGCGGCTATCACGAAATGGTAAATGTCCGTCGGTGAAAAAAGTTTCGTGCAGCAGAAGCCTAAATCAAGAGTCAATGGAAAAGCTTTTGTTCCGTTGGTAGCAGTGCAGCCAAAAAAGTAATATAAAATATACATTGTATAAATAGAAACATCCGCATATCAGGACTTAGATAATCTCCTATCTTATCGTAATCAAGGTCCGGGAATATCATTTCATTTATTTGCTTTAGGATTTTGTGACTACCCTCCATTTAGATTAGACGAGCACTCCGCTCGTTGCTGGTTCGTATCTGATTCGGATGTGGTCTATATATTAAATAGGCTTATTTTTATGATCATTTGGCTGACCTTTTAAACCAACCAAAGCCATAAATTTTAATGATCGTAAATAAGGGTTCCCCCCAATTGAATACTAATTTGTTAATTTATCTCCAAGGAAAAAGAGGTGTGGAAGGCAATTAATAAATTTCATAAAAGAGAGAAAGTACTGCGCTGCATTCCCGAACATACGCAGTGGCACCCCACACCTACCTCGACTTTGCAGCACAATAATTGGCTCAAAAAATGAACACTCGACACTGCACTTTTAGGATTGAATTTCACTGCTCTCAGGTTCAAGCTGAATTTCTGATTGTGCATTTCTGAATATACAACTGACTGAAGGAATATATCCGATTAGCTGAGCGCTCTGTCTCTCTCTGTATGTAACTGTACAGGCCCCGATGATAACCTTGTTTTTTCTTTCCGTGATTGTGTTGTTTCTTGGTTTCTTATCAACGCACATCATCATGTTTTGTTTCCATTTGTTTTCATTTCAAAAAGACATGGACTTTTTTTCCCCTCATTTTCCTAGCAAATATTGCCGGTTTTCTTTATCAGAATGAACACCTGAAGAGGAAACTCTTATGTCTGCTTTCGCCCCATTTCCTGTAGCTAAATTTCCCGCAAAGTGTATCCAAAAATGGGCTTGCCACACAATTGCTTGAAGTGCTTTTCCTTTTCCTGATTTTTCCATTGTAAATATTGTTGTGTGTGCGAGCTATTTGCTATTCTTAACATTCTGGCACATTGCGTGCCACAAGAAAACATTATAGGTGCCTCCACGTGTGGTTCTTGGTAAGAGGTCGCCGAAGCACCCAGTCCCAGAACTGTTTTTTGGCTTGCGAATCGAGTTTATATCCAAGCCATAATTGCCAAGAGTCGCCAACGTCAACGTTACTTTCCGGCCAATTATACGGCACCCGCTACTGGCTATCGGGCTACTGCTTTGGCCCATTGCCGGCGGACCTCGAACGACCATCATCAGCAGCACTAGCACACCTCTCAGCCATTCATTCCACTAGCTACCATTACCCATTAACAATAAAAGCCACAGGCGTACGCCTTAAACTCAGAAACTGGTTTCTTCAGAGCCGCCGGCCCGTGGCTTTTGGGAGGGTGTTGTAGGTGCCCCTCGCTGATTCTCAAGGTGTTGCATGAAAAATTGTTTGACCTTAAGAAACTCTCTGCGGAGTCGTGGGGGTCGTTTTGTCCATTATTTAGCAGAGTAGAGTAGTCCGATCTGAAAGCGAAATGAAAAATGAGTTCAACTACAGCGTGGCTTTCCGCTGCTCGATTGAATAAATGCCATTAGCATTTTTGGAGCAAAAGCGCGCCCTTATCTAATGATGATTATGTGTTCAAAGAAGGCGTTTCTCTGTAGGCAAGGGGAAGCTTTGGATAATAATTAGGCTACAAAACGAAACCCCCAAAAATCACCCAGAAAATGGGAACAAATGTCGAAACTTTGAAGATATCGCCACAGAACCGAACAGAACTGAACAACAGAAATGTTTACATTTGTCCTTAACTTGATGAATGATAATTATAGTGATGATCTGGTCAGTTCTCACACTCAATTATTTGGGATTCCCTCTTGATTCGATTTTAATTGAGGCTTAAAGACTCTCCACAAAAGACTTCAAAGAAATTTGATTAAGGGTTTAACCTCAAGCACACTTTAACCCCTTGAACTTGTGTTGTTCATTGTCTTTCATTTGACAAAAGAGAAAAAATCGTAATTATGATTTATTTCCTTCTCACTTTCGATTTATCGAGGGGAACATTATTTGAAACTGTAGATTTTCCAAGAAGTTCTCTTATTATCTCTCGAATAACCCTTACCACTTTGTCCCCCTACCAAACATTTATTGTAATCATTGAGGGAACTACAAAATGTAATTACAATTTACTTTTCATTGGAATTCCCCTCTTCATTTCACGATCCCTCTTACATTATGTATAGTAGAGTGTTTGATAGAATTTTGCATTGGGTTTTTTGTATACTTTTCTGCTAGAAAACGGACTTTCACGGACTTTGTTTGTTGATTAAATAAAGCAGAATTATAAAAACCAAGACCTCCAAGAAATGTGCCCAGCAATCTTTTAAAGTGTTTTTTTGTTTTGTTTTTCGAAAAAGACAGATGGGCTGTTTCTACCAACGGACGGGTTGTGATTAAATCCAAAAGTACTTCCGTGACACCCCTTTGATATGATGATTATCTTCACCTATATTATAATCTACGACAGCTACGACTCTTTTCCATTGTCAAATGAATTGTCGAGCGAGAAACACAATTAGGCCGAATGGCAATTAGCCCACGTTTACGCTTACGACACCCCAAATTACACTCCACGCATAACAATTGGGGTTAATTCTAGCATTCTTAATAAAGTGAGCTGTAATCAAATCAGAGCAAGTGCTTGAGTAACTACAGATTGCAGATAGGTAGGCATTGGATATTTCAATTAAATGTACTAAACAGTTTCTTAGTTTATTTGTTACACTTTTCTTTCTTTTCTTACTACTGTATTAAACCACGTTTTATCGATGAGGAAATCCAAGAAATCCAAATAATCGAAATTTAGTTTAGGCTCTTATCAATACAAAATAAAAAGCACTTCATTTGGGTTATTTTTTCGCTCATTAAAATTAACTCTATTTGATTCTTTTCTTATCACATACTTGAGATGATTGCTTTTGGCATATTTTTGGATAAGTCCTTGCATTGCTCATATTCTCATATCCAGAGAGCTTGAAGAGCGTACTTTTCTTCATCCACTTGAAATTGACTCAAGCTGTATTACTATTCTTATCATATTACTTGGCACGTGTTCGTTGATTAGACAATAACAAAGCTCGTCAAAAGTGTTTATGCTAGAGCTACGAGTAGATGTATACAGTGAAGAAAATTCCACAAACCAAAGAGAGTGCACGTATACAAAAAACAGAGAGCAGAGAAAAAGAGAGCGTGTAGTCAGAAGGTGTGAATTTATTTGATGCTATAGTTAGCCTAAGCCAAACAGATCTCACAGATCTCAGTAAAGAAATGATTGAATTTCTATCTGCATATCTGTCTGAGCATCTACTTTTCTTTCGAACTTTTTAGCTCTCTGTTGGTTGATTTTTGTATGACCAAAAGCTAGGAATGTTGAGCAAATATTTACAAGAGGTTTTATTACTTATGTGAATATTAATGACACTTGTATGCTGTTTTCTCCTCGGATTTCTGGAAATATAACATTTGAGACTTTACTGACTCTTTAAAGGGAAACTTCTTCCTCAAATCGGTCTTTTATGAGGCTATCAATCCCTGCAGTAAATATGGTTTCCCATTATTCCCATTATTATTATTATTCCTATGCTTGATTGTTTTTGATTTGGGTTTATCACCCAGTATTTGGTTCACAATTCAGTTCAAGTTTAAATGGTAGCACGAGAACCCAATGATTAGCAGGGCTCCTTATCGGCTCCTCCAAAAAGATTGTTGACTTGGCAACGCCAAGGTGGGGGCCGCCACCACATATCGGCACTTTTTTTTTGTCTCTGACTGCAAAATAAAACAAACAATTGTTCAATGTTCAGCGAATATCGGGATGGCCTCACACAAATTATGAAAGTTATTTATGTTGGGGTTGGCGCTCTAGTTTAAAGTCGGCGGCATTTGGCAATTTTTGCTGGCATCTCTTGCATTTCTGCGCTGAGCAAAGGTTGTGTTTCTTTTTTATCTCAAGTCGCAAAAAACCCAATCAGCAGCAGACTTATTAATTACGAAAATAGATGCTGCCGTCCGTGTGATTTGGTGGGTCGTAACATGTCGCATAAATTAATAAGTCGTGAAAATAAATAATACAAACAGTCAGATGAATTCAAAACAGTATTTGCGTTGCGTCATTAATTGAATGTGTCGTTGCGGGTGACCTCCTTTGAGGAATTACGGGGAGATAATTTTCACGTTTTTGCCTGCCCTGTCGTTTGCCTTTTGGCGATAGAGGCTCCTGATAGCAGATGGGAGAGCGGAGCTCTAATACGATAATACAATGTCAAATTCATGCTAAGATCATGTGTCCAATAATGATTCGATTTTCGCATTCAGCTTTGCGACTGGCTTATCAAAACGCATAAGTATGAGTGTTTCTCCCGCTAATCAGCCAGCAACTAGAAATATTTTTGTCAATGAACCTATTTTCGTGAACCTCAAACAACAACGAAATGTTTTGTTTGTATTAATTAGGCAACAACAAATATACAGAGCGGATACTCCTATTTTGTAGATTCCATTATTATATTATACTCGTATGATATACATTCGTTTTTAATGGATTCAAGTGA